GCGGGTATATCGGTGGGCGAGCTCTATTGATCGGCTGATGCAACATGGCACTGCCTGCCGCTCCGCGCCCCAACCAGGGTCAGACGTGACCCGGCCGACCTCACCGGTAATCGATGGACAGAAACTGGCCGAGCGGCGGAAACTTCTGGCCAGAACAGGACCAAGGGCGAAGGAAGAGTTCGAATGTAAATAAAGGTGAGGTTAGCAGTTTATCTTATATCACTTCCTCCGATAGCGGTTACAACTCCGAATGTGCAGTTGCAACGAATCAGTTGTTTCGAACCTATGCCGATTGTTATTTAGGTATTTTTGGTCAAAAGTCAAAACTGACAAAAAAGGAACGGGGAGAGTGGAATAAGAACAAAGTTGTATGTATGTATTACCTTCATGGACAATCCACGCGGGGCGTGGCGATTACAGTCCAGAGTCTGAGTCGGGCACAAACAAAAACATGCGGGGACAAGAAACACAGGCATACAAATTCAATCGCTGGACATTCGCTCTCTCTATATACAAACGGACGATTCAAGACAGCACACCGCACACGGATGTCGCACCTCCTTCCCCTGACACGGGTCATCGTCGGGCGGTCGTCATCGCCGGACAGACTGCAGCCTTGGCCGCACGGGCGAATTGGGCGGGGCGCTGTTCGATGACACCGGGAGGCAGACTGTTGAGTAGCGCCGCGGCCCGGTAGGCGAACCGTCGCTTGCCAGTCTCGAGCCGCGAGCGTGGAAGGTGGAAAAGGTGGTCCTGTCGTGTGGATCTCTCTCGCGCGTCACTGTTATTCGTGAAGATGGCAGCTAGTGCTTCGGGCTCGCCGTTGCTTATTATTTTCTGCGCAGTTACCATGGTTTTAACATCGGCCATAGCTTTCGGAGGCATCCATCCGAGTGAATCGCGGAGGCCAGAGACGTGATCGAATTTCCGGCGGCCGAATATGACCCGTGCTGCAAAGTTTAGAATTTTTTGGAGTCGGTCGAAGTTTTTCTGGGAGCCGTTTCCATATACAGTGAGGCAGTACTAGTTTATTACGGAGCGAGCGAAGCGAGCGTAGTCTTTCCTTATATTAACGGAAATTTCTGAGTATGAGCGGCCGGCCGGCCGTGGTCACGATTCTGCGACGCTTATATCTCAGCAACCACTTGACCGATTTACATGCGGTAATTTTTGTAGGGTAGCTTCATTCCTTCTACCAAGTATTGGACTATTCCCGATGCATGTGGGTGACCCCTTATGCACGTGCCACACTGCCACGTGCAAAACGAAGAGGTGTCAGTTTTGTAATTGTTGCAATATCTCGGTAACTACTTGGCCGATTGCGCTGAAAGTTGGCATGTAGGTAGGCACCCACTAGGCACTGCATATCCATGTGCCAGAGTTGGGGTGCTGCTGCACGTGCGCACGTGCAGGGGTCGTTTCCAGATCTCGAGAACGGCACGACCAATTGCGCTCAAATTTGGTAATCAGTTGGGGACCGGTTAGTAGGGTGCCGTGCAAAAGTCAGTTGGGACCCATTTTGCACGTGCGCACGTGCAGCGTGCCGCTTCCAGATCTCGAGAACGGCTGGGCCGATTGCGCTCAAATTTGGCACATCGCTAGAGACCGGTTAGTAGGGTGTCGTGCACAAGTCAGTTGGAGGTACCCCTCGCAATTTCGCACGTGCAAGGCTCACCCTCTCGCTCGCTCCGTTTGTCGCCCCAAAAGGCGTTATACTGGTGTATGCATCTAAAACAGTGACAAAATAAAGGGTAAAATGCTAACAGAGCCATGTAAAAGTGAAGAAAAAGCGACAAATTAGCAATAATCGACGTTTAACGGACTGTCGTGTCGCGCTTATGTCTGTGTGGCCATGTAGAGCGGCGTAGATGGCGCTGAGTAGCAGACCAAGTACCAACTACAGCGGCAGCAAGGCTATAGCGGCAGATTGTTGCAACACGAGACACAGATGGCAGCACCTGCAAGCGGTAATATCTCGATCAAGGCGATAAAATCGCATATTTACGTCTGGACAACGAGTTGCGGGGAAAAGTGCTGATTTTGTTGCAGTTTTAGGAGCCGGTGATTAGGCTGGATTTTTGGGTTACTTTTTCGTTCCGATTCATGTATTTCATAGTGTTTGGCTTTTGAATATTTTAGTTCTTTCAGATAAATATTACTTGCCTTACAACTTTTGTAAAAACGTTTCATTTTTTATAAGCCGACCTTCAGAGTCCTAAAAATACATCAGCACTACAATCATTGTAAACAAACAAATGGAGCACCACTTGGCTTTGTTCCAAGACCATTTTTTAGTTTATCTGGTGGTTTTCTTGCTCTTGTACGTCGTTTTGTTGCATGTTTTGAATCCCTTAAGATTGACTTATATCATATTTAAGAAGCATGTTGACTGAAAACAATCTGAAGTATCCAGCAGGCTGACAGAGGTGCAACAGAGGTCCTGACTACTGAGCAATATCAATATCAAGTTACAAGTTATGAAATTTTGGTTGATAAACGCAAGTTGATCGGGCTCATATATCAGCAAGAAAAAGTAAAATTAAAAGAGCTTATTGTCCAAAAACAAGCTATAATATTGCAGACCTTGGAGCAATACCTACTGAAGAGCACACTGAGCAGGATCATGCCAGAAAATGTTGACTGATGAGCGCATATTGATGTATTGGCATGAATATTGAATGATAACTTACAACAGCAAGATAAATTAGTGCTAATTATCAAGTTAAAATCTAGAATGAATGGACTTGGGCAGTTTTACTATGCTTAGATGCATGCAGATTGTAATGTGCATCAGGTACTCAGTGTCTGGCAAATGAAACATGCGATCATTCCATTGCTACTGGAGGAGAAAGCTTGGATCACTAAATCCACTTTATGTTGATTTTGATGTTAATCATCATCAATGTATTTCTTGAAAAAAGGATTGTAGTAAAATTGTCTGTGACAATCCATGCAACGATGTGATCATACTATGTGTTCATATTCATTCGTGATAGTTATTATTGGTCCAATATACAATTGCAAAGCTCTCAGTCTCAGCGTTTCTTCCTGTGGATGGCCAGCAGTGACTCAGAGCTTAGAAGTATTAGTTTTCTTCACAGGGCTGGGATAAAAAGTACTGAGGGTAATCTTCCACCAAGGAACTCTACTTTGACATGGTATGAGATGTAGGCACAAGTAGGTACTAGGTAGGTGCTCAGTTCCTATAGTCAGTAGTTGTGTATGTTTAGTCGGGTTAGCTTAGATCAGATTGTTAGTTTTTTAATTTGCCAAATGTCCATAAAAATGTGATCTGAGCAATGAGCATACCTGAACCTGACTAACCTGACAGCTGACCTAACCTCAATCATCACACATATTTGCAGCCTACCCAAGACCTGCATGGCAGTAGCACCCAGTTATAGGTAGGTACTCACCCTAACTCAATCTTACCTGCTAACCTTCAACTTGCCAAAAGTTAGCTCACATTGCCAAGCTGTGTCCAGGGAAACAGTCAACTGAGGAACTGGCTCATTGGGTGGCTGGTGTGAGTCTGTGCATTTAAAGTGTTTCTTCTCTGAAGCTGCTCTGCACTGCTGTATGTCATGTTAGATGCTCAGAAAATGTGGGAAATGATTACTTAGCGGTACTTTAGTGCTTTGTTAATACTCGAGACATGAACAAGTACAGATCCTGCAGGGTACAGCTATGAGTTAGGTGCTAGGTCATAGGTGAGTATGTTATGTGAATGTGGTGTTCCCTGTTTGACCGTAAGTATACAAACAAGCACAGGGTCACAGTTATATTCAATCTCCACATAAACATACAACAAAAACGGCCATATAGCCTAACTCCGAACACACCACAGATAACTTAAGCCTTTGAAGGCACAAAAATGTTTTGATTAACAGGACAGGTTTACAATATATCCTCTGTCCTTGGGGGATCTTGCTGCCAAGTTGAGGTATGATGACTGAACTTCAGGATTGATCAACCTTTTCTTAGCCACTGCTTATATACGAGAAAGACCAAATGCTTGTTTGTTTTGATTTACAGGACATGTATACAATATATCCTCTGTCCTTGGGGGATCTTGCTGCCACGTTGAGGTACCATGACTGAACTTCAGGATTGATCAACCTTTTCTTAGCCACTGCTTATAAACGAGAAAGACCAAATGCTTGTTTGTAAACTGCATTGAAAATTTAATGATCCACCTTCAATTCTGAGATGAAGGCACAAATGAAATAGTTCCCTCTCCTTTTGGAACACACAAAGCAAAATATTTAATAAATTTTAGTGGATGGACAAGAGCAATTAGCATAGCTTTCTGATTCCCTCAAGTTAACTTCTGGCACTGTTGATTATACGGCCTTGCTGTTGATGAATTACACCATGGATGAAGTGGTAGTAGGTAATCCATGATTACACTGACGCTTATTCGCTTCATATTTTGTAACAAACGCGCTAAAGCTGCAATATAACAGCACTATATGCTTCTTGACAAAATGCAATAGTATTAAAAATTTAGCCCTGATAGCATTCATTCTTGGTGGAAACGTAATTACAAAATATTTTGTATTAGCTATTAAATTCCGGCCGAAAACAGTGCACGGTTTAAGAAAGAATCATTCCAATGACGGTCCATTCTTGCGGTCCTGAAATCGCCACTATTTCCGGCCTTTCCAACGCAACTCGTTGTCCAGACGTAAATATGCGATAAAATCTCGATAATGCCTTCTTCCGCCAGGGTGTTTGAATTGGCATAGTCAGCAGATTGATATAATCAAAACAAAATGTACGGTGACATGCGTGCATTTAACAATGTGACGTATCCACATAGCGCACTTTTCAACAGCTTCTGGAATCGGTGCTGACCTCAGCACACCAACTGGTAGCATTACGTGCCAATCTGTCCCACGGCGGTAATAGAAGAGCTGGCTATTTACGTTACAGGTAAGCCCCTCTGCTCCACTTTACATGCCAAATCGCCTTACATTCCAGGTGGTTTTAACTTTTATTGCGATGGATTGTTGTTGATTGAGGTAAATAAAGTCGCTACTTGTCCTCACTGGCCCTCGCCTGATCCAGCATATCGAGAACCAGCTGCACACTCCTCCCAATCCTGGCCACTTCCGCGCGCAGCTCGCCGACATCACACTTGAGCTCGAGCGTGTTCCTGCGCAGCTCCTCCCACTCGCGCCCCTCCTCCTCCTCCTCAGGGTTCGGCTCCTCCGGCAGCGACTCCGTCCTCCGCGGCGGCTGCCGCTCGGCCTCCAGCCTCCTGCGGGCCAGCACCACACCAGCCGCGGCCGCCAGCAGACGCGGACGGTTCTTGAGCCAGCGCGCCAGCCGCAGTAGCTCCGCCTCGCGGACGGGCACGCGGCGTAGGGCGCCGAGCAGGCGGTGTAGCAGCGAGCGCGCCTGGCGCCGGCCGCCCAGCCGCACCTCGAGCCCGTGCGGCGGCAGGCGCGTCAGCAGACGGAGCTCGGCACGCGGCAGCAGCAGCCACAGCCGCCGGCAGCCGCCCTGCAGGTGCTGCTCGAACAGGTGCACGTACTCGAGGTGTTTGGTGTGCAGGCGCACGTTGGCTCGCTGCTCTATGTGACGCGTGTCGTTCACGGCCAGCCCGATCATGGCGTTCATTGTGATGATGAGAACGAAGAAGATGAACAGCAGGTAGGCCACGTAGCCGAACCCCGAGCCACGTAGCCGCTCGGGCGCGTAGTTGAGTTCGCCTATCGACATCACCAGAGTGGCGATGTACGTCTCCGCCGGGCTACCGAACTCCTCCTGACTCTGGAACAGCACCAGGAAACAGCTGGCAAACGCCAACATCACCAGCGCGTACACCATCATGAAGAGCGCCATGGTGCGCACCAGCGTCACCAACGTCATCACGTGGATAGACGCGAGCTCGGAGAGGCCGAACAGGTACAGCAGCTCGGCCCACGAGACGAGCAGCGTGGCAGCGCTCAGCTGCCGGAACACCGCCGGCGAGTGGTCGGCGGCCGCCAGACAGGCCACGGCGCCCGCGCAGCAGAGCCATACCACAACGTTCTCGGTGGCTCGCAGGTAGGCGCGAGGTCCGATGACGAACAGACGCTGCAGCTCCCGGATCAGCAGCATGATGACGGCCAGCACAGTCAGGGACAGCATGGCCACCTCCCAGCGCTCGCTGGACTCAGTGGAGCCGACGGAAGCGTAAGGAGAAGAGGAGGTAGCTGTGAGATTGGAGTCAGCCATTGGGGCTGAGGAGGTTGGCGAGACGGTTCGGGTTGAAGTTGGAGAGGATGCGTCGGTCGGTGCGAGGTCAAAGTCAGGTCTCTTGATGACGACCACGACGAACACGTTGAAGCAGGCGACGAAGAGCGCAAACATGGCCGTGTGGAGGACGTAGAACGGCCACACGATGCCCCATTTGAGGTTGAGGAACGTCTGGCAGAGTGGGTGCAGAAACAGCTGCTTCTGTGCTCGCCGGTCCTGTACGCTGTTCAGTAGGAGGGTCTCCACCTGGGGCGCGGCGCGCGCCGACAGCGGGGCCTCGTCCGGCGGCGGGTCGAGCAGGCGAGGGTCGAACACACTATAGTCGAACACGACGCGCCGATCGGTCGGTCCACCGGGCTCGCGCAGCTCCAGACACCGGTCGAAGGCCGCCTCCAGACACTCGGGGCAGCGGCGCACGATGTCCACCAGCGGTGTGAAGCCGGCGCCGTTCCGGGCCGCCACGCTGGCGCCGGCCTCGAGCAGGAGACGGACGCGCCCGGCGGCGCCGTCAGCCGCCGCCAGGTGCAGGGGCGTGCAGCCGAGCCGGTCGCGCGCCTCCAGCTGCACCCCGGGCGCAGCGAGCAGCGCGCGCAGCACGCCGTCGCTGCTGGCGCCGGCCGCCGCCGTGTGCAGCGCCGTGCTGCCGGCCGCGTTGGCCGCGTTCACGTCTGCGCCGTGCTCTAGGAGGATGCGCACCAGGGGCTCGGAGCCGTCCCGGACGGCCTGCTGCAGGACGCGCTCCTCTCCGAGCAGCGGCAGCGGCCGGCGCGCCGGGCCGCTCTCCGGGCCGCCGTCCGGGCGGGCCGACCGCAGCTGTGGCTCCTCCTCCTCCCCCATCGGCACCGGCACGCAGCAGTTGGGGTCGGCGCCGTCCTGCAGCAGCTTCAGCGTCTGCAGCCGACTGCGGCTCAGCACGGCGCTCACCAGACCGTCGTCATCGGCCGCCGAGGCGCTCGACTGGCGGCGGTACGGCGGCGGCTCGCCGGAGCCCCGCGGAGCACGCAGCGGCATGGCGGTGACGACGGTAGAGCGACGGCAAATATAACCAGCGACTTATCAACAGCGCAGTCTGCATTCACTGGGCAACGCTCGTACGAACAGTCGCACTGCACATACATAAAGCTACACGCCTTTCAATGGCCCTGAATCTCCAACAAGATCGCTAGCTTTACAGAGTCACTGCCAAATAAAGCACGACGGGTCCGGAAGGACGCGATCAACCACAGTTCAGTCTGTCACGACACTGACCTAGTACTGTTCAACGCGACGATGGCAGTGCCAGCCCTGATAAGATACAGAAGGCGGCGGTGGCGGTCGAGGGGGGTTATAATTCGTCACGTGGCAGCAGGGCTTAGTGCGTGGGGTCGAGGTCCAGAGAGCACCTCATCTCCGCTCCCCACCGCTGACAGGACATGGTGAACCACATTTCAGTCTCATGTCACGAAACGGTCCGGTGCGAAATTCAACAGCAGTAATCGCAGGAAATCGAGATACAAAACATGTCTAAATCTTAGGTATGCCAATGCAATTAACAACCGCTTCAAATTCATCACATGGGCTGACAGTTCAAGTGTACTATACCGAGATATCTAATAATTAAAAAAAAATACTCTAGATAAGCTCGGTAAATGACGGTTGAAAACATTGCATATCAACTCACAAAACGTATTGTAAGCCGATACACTAAACATCGATTGAGGCATAGCAGCATAGCACTCATTCGTAACAATCTCCACAAAGCTAATTTTGCACAGCATACGAGATAGCTGCCGCTTACGAACGGCCACGGAATAGCGAATAATAATCTACTGCGATCGGTACGCCGAACGATCAACTGAATAGCTTAGATACCACTATCCAGAGCGCCCAAAACTGATACCGGCAGTCAAACTTCAGTAGCTTCTAAGAGCTCTACAAACATAAGCCACCTTGCAAGCCCAGAGCTAAGCCGTCTGTCTACGCAACAATTCGCACGGAAACGTTTGCAGAATATCAATTGCTCTCAGAAGCTATCGGACGCCTTCACCGAACAACGCCGCAACCTGACTTCACGTGCCATCAGAAATTCACATAAAGTTAGAGAGACACCGGTTTTCACGGTTTTGTGGAACCGATATCCTCCACGATTTTGATTCCCAAACAAGACCTTCATCTACCAGTCGACCCACCCCAGAATTTTCATTTGTCATACCCATATCTGTCATAAAATCACAAGATAGCAAAAACAGTTTATTGTACAAAAACGAATCGATATCGGGAGTAGACCAATACTCCTCCCAAGGCACTGCTAGAACTGTTTTCATCGGCTTATCAGTCACAAGAGTTCCATCGAAAATGATCCAAAATCGGTAAATGTCGATAGCGCACCCATCAAATTGTCCTCTGCTGCGTGGACTGAAACAGGTCCATTTATAACGCGTCCTATTGTAGGTACCAACGAAACCGAACGCAATCAGGTACGGTTCCTTCCACTCCACTGTGGTTTGTGTTTCAGAGCACTCAATAGTCGAGAGCACTCTAGTTGAGAGCCAGCGGCACTATGAGCATACTAATGGGATAGCTTAGCGTGCTTTAACGGCTGATAGCATAACTAGCGATCAACTAGCTACCGGCATAGCAAGGGTCTGTTCCAGCGCCCCCTGAAAACACCTGAACGCTCTAGAAAGCTCCAGAATTATCCAGTCAGCGTTGTAGCGCCACCAGAAACATCCAGCAGCCTCCAGTCAGTTGCGAGGTCCACAATTAACTGGAGGCTCTGGTCTACAGCAACGGCGCAAATGTAGCGTTTACAGAATATGGAAGCTTGGTCTTTTGAATTATTTTATAGTTGTATATAGAATCACACTTTAAAAAAATGAAACATACTTTCTTGCATTCTGTGCCTCCATTCTGTGCAAACATTGCATTCTAGTGCCTCCAATAAAAGCTTATAACTTTCTCGAAGAGCCATCAGTAAATAACTTTGACTGGAGGCGCTGGAACAGGCCCTAAATGCCTAGCTACGAGCAGGGAAGATAGCACTAGCACAGGAGATAACAAAGACGCACAAAGGAGACTGAGCCGATTCGGTCCCAAACGCCTCTCACTTCAACCAGATGGATCATCCAACCACTGCTTAGTTGGAAACTACCGTCAGAACCACTGCTTAGTTGGAAACTACCGCCATCTCAGGCAGCGAGAGACGGCATACAGCTCTCTTCCAACTTAGCCTTCTTAGACAGTATCGGCTATGCCACCACACACCCCGGCAGACTCGCTCACACAACGAGCGGTGAGCTCTCAGCCCCCGTTGAACCCAGCCAGGGACAGAGTTGGCCGGGACCTGCCTGGTGCGGCTCCCCGCCGGCGGCGTCCCTGTGATGACGTCATCAGTGGAGCACGCGCACCGTGTGCCGGCCGGCCATCATGATGACGTCATCGTCCTGCAGGTCCTTGATGGCATCCTCGAACATCTCGCGGGTGATCATCTGTGGGGTGGGGGGAATGGAAAGGACCGTTAAATTATATCCGACAGCCCCCGCTAACAATTCCTCTCCCTTCTGGAAATTTACAAGCACAACAATGGTGCGCGGAACTGCAAAATAGTTTGGTATCTCACACAGCAGCATTGTAGCTGCGGTGCATTACACCAATCACTTCCACGAACAGGAATAAGTAATAAATGCACTCAACTTCCATTCCACTTCGGTCGCTTACCTAGGTTTTTGGTCCTCGCTGCTTGCGCAACAAACAAAGCGATAGGTAAGTTCGTACATGACGAACTATTGGTTGAAGCCAGCAGATACCAATAAAATATTAATATAAATCGCAAATGAAAGATGATGCAATAAATGGTCCCAAGTTGTTACATGAAATCGTCAATAAACAAAACGTAAACAACATAGCTTTCAAGATAAATCAAAGAACGGAAAAGACACAAAGCTCCAGCAAATCCAGCACACACCTGCCACCATGTCTGCTGATAACGGCAACTTTTACCCAGATCGCCCCGTCATCCTCATCAGAACTCACGATGTCCGAGTGCTCGCGCAGCTCCTGGTAGAGTTTGGTGAGCGGCACGGTCGGTGCCGAGCCGCGCTCCTTGAGCACCTTCTTCAGGGCGGCGGCCACCTCCTGCCGACGTTTGCGTCCGGCCGCCGACAGGCCCGTGGTCAGGATCGATATGTCGATACGGCCTGTTCAGACAGAGGAGGGAGGGAGAGAGGTGGTGAGTGACCCGACGTGACGCGGTCGTTGACTACGGCGTCAGCCAGGAATTTCGCGGCGCAGCGTAAAAACTGAGCCTTTTAAAATTCTGGAAATGATTCTTACTCACGGTTCACCGTATGTGACTCAAATCGTTATTCTGATGAACAGCTCAACCAAAATACATAAGTTTCACAAAGCGGATCTCAGCGAGTGTCCGACCCACCCAACTGTGCCCGGTCGGCCGGCGCCGACCTGACTGACCTGAGGTCGGGTCGGTGGCGGCCTGTTTGAGCGCCTCGCGGTGCAGCCGCCACGCCTCCTCCACGTCCGGCAACTCCACAGAGTTGGAGAAGCGCATCTTGGCGTGCGCCTCGGCCAGCCGGATGAGGCTCTCCAGCTGGCGCGGGTAGGCGGTGATCTGACCGCGCCCGCTGCCCACCTGCCGGAGGCACACCAGGTCAGGTCAGTGGGGTCGGGACCGCAAAGATCAGGACCGCGAGGTCAGCAACAGTCAGAAGCCAGAGCAGCTGGCAACCATACTAGGAACATGATGCATTATCCAAGCCAGATGGCTTTATTTTCTCTGAAAACCGATAACGTGTGAGGAAATTAACACGCGCAGTGGAAGGGTTGCGAGTACTACGCCCAGTGGAAGGGGGGGCGGATGTCGCCCCCCCCCCCTAAGATCTCAGCTCCCACTGGAGCTAGAAAGACGAAATTTGGAGGGTAGGTAGGGGCCATAGGGAACTCTGTTGTATGTGAATTTCATGACCCTAAGTCAATATCTTCAAGGTCAAATGAGGTCAAATGTGGTCAAATCTGCCATATTAGCGACTTTTTTTGCGTTTACACGCCGATAACTCAAAAAGTTACCGGCCGATTTTTTTAATCTTTCACTATACGAAAGAGCAAACATTTGTGAGTATGTATGGCGAATTTCTAGATAATCCAACAATAAATATGGCAGTTAGAAGCCTGCTAAGGGTAAGATGTCGCCGGCTGAAGCGGCCATCGGCCGACGCGGGAAACGCGGCAATCACAATTTTTGTGTTTACACACTCATAACTCAAGTTGTTACCGGCCGATTTTCAAAATTCTTTGACCATATGATTGCCTGTACATTTCTCAGTCTACTCAGCGAATTTGATGCGAATTTAATATAATCAGCGGTAAGGAGCGCGATGTAAAGACGGAACCGTCCCGCCCCGGCACAGTCTACAATTCAGGCGGCGCCTAACGGCTAGCGCCGGCCGCCGCGCCGCCGCGGCGGCAGGATGTTTGACTTTACACCGCTATTACTAGAAAAGTTGTGAACCGATTTTCTTACTTCTTGCACGAGAAGATCCGCAGTTAAATTCTGGACAGGTAGCCGAAATTTCACATTGATATTATGCTTGCGGCGCGAGTTATTGGCGAAAAACAGGAGGGGTGGGCGAAATCCGCCCCCCCCCCTTCCACTGCGCGTGTTAAGCGAAACGCTTAAACCAAAACAAGTTGGGGGTTAGTATTGCAGATATAGAAAAGTGTCCTCATATCGGGATTCGATCCCACGTTTCTGACCTTGCGCATGTCGACGTATGCCGAGATGAGTCTCTGCGAAGCGGCGTCGGTGAGGGTCGGCTGGAACGTGGCCTTGGCGTAGGCGATGTAGTCGCGAAGCACTCCCATGTCCTGACGGAGACGGAGGGGAACGAGTTACATACAAACAGGGGCAGAGGAGAGACCCAGTCAGCTTGTTTATAGGAAGTGACAGAACTGCAGCAAGATCCGAGTGATATTCACGCGGGTATACAAATGAGTGGCATTATTTGCCACCCCCTGGCATGACACGACTACGCATTCTTCCGTTCCCCTTTAGAACAACAATACAATACCCATCCAACACCACAACAGCACAGTTCAATCACATTGACCCAATCACCATCCTACGATACATTATCCCCCGGCCATGTGTTTTCCTTCTCTCCCTCCCCCAGGGCCCCACCTACCATGATCTCATCCTCCTGGGCCTCGTCGGCAGTGTAGTAGAGCGACACCAGATGGCGGGCCAGTCGCCGGTCAAACGCCTCGTCCTGAGGGTCCAGCATCAGGAAGATCAGGTCGAACCTGTCGGCAGGAAGAGAGGTCAGCCAGTTAGACTTGGGTGAGTTTAGGTTGGACACATGTGGTCATTAAAGGGACCCTCCCACCTTCAAAAAAGTCAATGAATTGGCATGAAAGTGATGTCGCTCGGTTCAGAAAGAGCAAAAACGAATATCTACCAAATTTCATCGAAAAATATTCACCGGTTTTCAAGATATTAGACTTTTACTTTTGTTTACTATTTGGGATCTCCGCTGTTCCTAGCGACTTTATTTGAAAGTGCGGCATTTGTTGCGCGCAAAGCAGCATATACCACCGCGTGCTACAAAACGTTTTAGTCAAACATTTAACGGACGTTCGAAAGCCTGATGACGTCATCAGACTCCCGTAATGGTTAAGAGATAGGGACTAAGCTGGTCCCACCCTGCAAGTAAAGGGAAGAAATTTCTTGAACACCATAAAGCTGCGGGGGTTGCGACCAGGATAAATGGTGGTTTCTGAGCCTGGCCGCAAACTTGGCTATCTCAACTCAAAACTAATGTTAAGGTGGGATGGTCCCTTTAATGGTAGGCAATGAATGATAAACGAGCATAGCCACAAGTGATACCATTATGCCAAGATCGATTTCAAACAGACCGGCTTTCAGTTAAAAAAGACGTGGAAAATGGTGGAATTCAGTACGAATGTAGGCGAAATTATCAAGATCAACAGTTTATAGCGTCTGTTTTGACCGTCAAAAGCACTTTAAATCCATACAGCCAGTCTCAACCATGTTCTTCCATCACTCCTACCATGCCACCTCCTCTCTTCTCCCTTGCCCCACCCATCCCGTCCCTCTGACCTGGAGAGCAGCGTGTGCGGCAGCTCAATGTTCTCGATGATGGTTTTGTTTTTGTTCCACTGCGACTCGCACGGGTTGGCCGCCGCCAGTAGCGAGGTGCGAGCGTTCAGCTGGCAGATGATACCGGCCTTGGCGATACTCAGAGTCTGCTGCTCCATCACCTCGTGCAGCACGCTGCGCGTCGCCTCGCTCATCTTGTCGAATTCGTCGATACAGCAGATGCCGTTGTCGGCCAGCACCAGGGCGCCTCTGGCGGCGAGGAGAGGAACTAACGTCAGCGGTCGGAGACGAAAGGTGAGACACGTTCACTGGGCTAAGTGGGATGCATATTGGATGGCGGTGTGCAAGTGCAGAAAGTCACGCACTTGTCTTGGCTATATATCTTAAGGTTAATAATCATTTTAACATGTTCTCCATGTAAGCATTGAGTAACGTGTTTGTCTACACTCTACAAAATACAAAAAAAAAAAAAAAACGCGGAGAAGAATTGCATCACGATGGCCGGATGGCGCCAAGTCATCGTCAGTAATATCACCGGTTATTTAGCGACGAACGCGCAGAACCACTCATCACCGTTCCGTGCTTCTATCCTCAGGATACTGAAATCCTTCTCCTCCACGCCGCAACCCCCTCCGGGCTGGACAGGCAACTTTATCTCATGCGGGCTGCTCCCTTGGAGTGGCACCGCTGCTCCCGAGGGAGCGCACCCCGTAGCCGGGTGCAGTGAGTGCCTTGGGGCTGAGTGGCCTGTCCTCTGGACGGGCTCAGCCCCGGCGACTCACTAGGGTGCCTGCCCAGACCAATGTCTCCCCCTATATCCTATCATCCTCCCGGCTCTGAAATGGTCTAATTGGACCGAAAGGGCCTAACCCAACAAAACAAACAAACATCTATGTATATCCACATATTTAGCCCTGAAAACCGCGCCCAAACCTCCAAACAAACTATACAAAAAACGCTGTAAAATTATTAAAGTCGCCACCAGCCCCCCACCCCCCCCCCCAAAAAAAATCAAACGTATCCCTCCCCGCATCACTCACGTCTGCAGCGTCAGCTGTTTGGTCTCCGGGTCCTTGGTGACGTAGGCGGTGAGACCGACCGCCGAGGAGCCCTTGCCCGAGGTGTACTGGCTCCTGGGCACCAGGTTATAAACGTACTGCAGCAGCTGAGACTTGGACGTGCCCGGGTCACCGCACAGCAGAATGTTGATGTCCGACCTGGCGGGAGGGGGGGGGGGAGGGGAACGGGTTAGACAAGAGGACGGATGGCTCGGGAATGTCAGAGAGAAACGACGTTCAAATGCTACCGCCTTGGATGTACCAGGGTACTTCAGGCCTCAGGGCAATCGGGAGAGTACTGTCCCCAACGTGAACAAGTGCAATACGCTGAAAATAATATCACTGCTGCCTTCGACGTTAGTGTTTCGGAGAGGTAAAATCAAAAGTGAGAGAATCCAGCTAGAGTTCTAAACTACGACAGCACAAAACAGCAACTACAAACGAGCAATTAACAAAATTTGTTGATTGCTAAGAAAATTAATCTGATTAAGAGCAAACAGAGGTAACTCTCACATTACAGACTCATGCCATTACGGCGGCCCCGATATGTCCCTGCGTGACGCCACGTTGGCTCACCTCCATTTGCCGCGTCCCGAGTCTGAGAAGTCCTTCTGCGTGCCGCTGAAGAGCTGCATCAGAATGCCCTTCTTGATGTCCTCGTTCTCGTAGATGGAGGGCGCGATGGCCCGCGCCAGTCGCTCGTACACGTCCTCCTTCCGGGAGAGCTCCTTCAGAGTCTCGATACGCTCCGGAGTCAGAGTCATCGGGTTACTGCCGGATTGAAGACGGGTTAAATGGAGATACTGAAAACAGATCTAGGGCGACCTATCGGTTCGCTAAGAAAACACGCGTGAGTCCATCGGGTTTCTGCGAAACGGTTAAACATAGGTTAAACTTATAGGGTAAACCATAGACTACCGTTTTACTGAGTAGTGTCTATGGTTAGCTCAACGGGTTATAATCGAACACAATAACCTGACCAAGACTACTGTAGATATGGAGTAGTCTATGGTTAAACTCATCGGGTTAATATGGAACACGAATATGGTCCACAAATTGCCGACTACTATTTGGCTACATAAGCCGCTCGATGACATGCTGCATACGAGGGCGATCTAGATCTAGGGCGACAGGTTAACTCGTATTGTAACTCGACAAATTCCGCATTCGTCAGTAAATTCCGCATTCCGCGTCCTAAATTACATCGATTTATACTGGCGGTACAACCACAAATGATGTGAGAAACTCTCCCGGCGGTCTGTATAAGCGATTGACCACAGATCTCACACAAAACTTATCATACCAATGTTGATAAGGTCTAAGCTGAGCTAGAGCACAGCTAGCGCGGCACAGCATGACTGCGCTCCGACTCATCTGAGACATAACTGTGCTCCTAGTCCTAGGTGAGCTGACCACTGACCCGTCGCCGCTGATACCCCGCAGCCGCTTCGTGTCCAGCCGGCGGAAGTGGATGACGTCAATGTGCGTCTTGTAGACCGCCTTCACACTGCGCATGCGCGGGTTGACGCGCAGCGGCGCCGCCCGGTATATGCCTGAGGTGATGGGAGGGGGAGGGGCGTCAGTTGATTTCAAACGCCACCGAACGGGCTACAATGCAGAGCAGAGAATAGTCAGCTCAAAGCCAATTTTTCTACAATGTGTGGGTTGAAAGATTTTACGTCATCTACAAAAGCATTATATTCGTTGAACAATGAACAGTGATAAAATAAGTAGCAAAAATGTTAATAGAATTTTTTTGCTGATGATGACTTTGTAGCATGCGTTTGAAGCACCACTGACCCCCACGCCCAGCAGTCCACTGACCTGTGACGGTGACCCTGTCTCCGGCCTGTACAGCATCCACCAGATCATTATGCGCATACGCGAGCACCGTGTGCGGCGTCTGGCCGGGTGGCATGTCGTCCGGCGACTCCTGCAGCTTCACCATCTGCTTGTCCGAGAACTGCGACCGGTTGTGGATCAGAGTGTAGGAGAACTTGGTGTTGCAGTGTGTGCAGAGCACCGGCTCAGCAATACGGCCACGGTCAATGTCGACGGACATGGTGTTGGAGCACACAGTGCACCGGAAGAACGCCTCGCGCATTTCGGGGATGACGTTCGAGGTGCGCGTCACCATGCCGCTAATGGTGATGAGCTGGTCGATGTCCTCCGGGTTGAGCGCGCGCATGTTGCGTGTCTTGTTAGCGTTGAACGGGCGCACCATGATCTGGTGCTGGAGGGCCGTCTCCGGGTACTGCTCGTGGAACATCTCGTTGACGGCCATGTCGAACGTCGGAATCACCTGACGGCGGTGACGTCAGAGTACCACAGTAAATGTAGGAGGCGCAAATGAGTTTACTACGTCAAGAAAAAGCAGTCAGGAAGATATACAAGCGAAAAGAAAATTGCATCAAAGCGTGGAGAGAAGTGATGGATGATTATAATTTACATGATTTCTCAGTAAAACAAATCGCCAATGATAAGAGTGACAATCAACTAAGCGAATGATACCGGGCAAGGAGCTGAAAGCCCCTCATTTTGGAGATATCGGATCAGCGCGTCTCCACGGCGCCGTTGGTAAGCCGCCGCTGAGTACGTTAGTCTCACCTCCTGCGGATAGCAGACCAGTTGGCGATAGAGGTCGCCGTCAAACTGCTGCAGGTGTGCGCAGTTGATGTTGAGAAACGGCTCCTCCACCAGGTGAATCTAACGTCGGAGACACGGGGTGACGTCAAACCGCAGTCAGAGGCATGCAGCTCGAGGTTCGATAAAGACAAGCGGTCGCTGAGACAAGATGCTGGATGCAGGAACTCATCCAGGGTAACTAGATCCGGAGTCTTCGAAAAAAACTCAATAAACGAATTCTATGATTAAAAAGAACTGACGCCGCGGGGTAACTCTTGTATCTTTCTTGTCGACTGACCTCTCGCAGCTTCTGCATGTAGAGCGGCCCGGACTCGTCCATGTTCTCCACGCGCTCATCCTCCTCCACGGCGTCGACGAACGTATCCAGGAAGCGGCGGAACTTTTCCTTGCACGTGCTCACCACCACGTCGGTGCCCCAGATGACCAGCTGGGGGCCCTGCGGCACGGGAGTCGGCGCGGCGCCGTCGCCGGCGGCGGCAGACGGGGCACGCTCCGGCTCACCGCCCTCCGCGGCGGCGTCCTGACGGCAAAGGGGGAGGGCATGGGAGGGTCAGATAGAGGTAGCGCCAGGTTGAAGTGGGAATTAGGGTTTGCTTTACATTGAGTGAAAGAAGTGCCAAAGCGTAACTAATTTCATAAAATATTATGCATAGACGTAAAGCTACCACATAAACTCTCATGCTGCATGCATAGGTGTATTATGCCAATGATATGAAACTGCAAGCCTTACCCTAAAAGAAATAATAAATATATCATTATCATCAATTTTAAAACTGCAAGTGTAAAAAAAAAAACGTTTCACGCTGCTCCACGCCCCCCACTAGAGTTTCCCACTCTCTCTCCTCCCAGCTACACTCACCGGCTCGCCCACGTTGACCTGGCGCATGACGCGGTCGGAGCGCAGGTCCGAACGGTGTCGCACGGGTGTGCCGCGCGCGCTGGACCGCGGGGTGCGCAGAGAGCCCAGCGAGCTGGGCGTGCCATAGTTGAGCGGCGAGCCGAGGTCGATCTCGCTAACGACGCTGGCCGGGCCGCTGATGACGCTGGCCGGCGCGCCCAGCCGGGAGAGCGCCGGAGAGCTGGCCGCCTGCTGGTCCGAGGAGACGCTGGGCGGCACCGCCTCGGACGGCGCCGGCGACTCGGCCGGCGGCAGCGGCGCGCCGGAGTCGGCACGGGACGAGGCGCGCCCGGAGCGCGGTGAGGCGCGGCTCGGGGTCGAGGCTGCCGAGCCGGTGCGGCCGCGGCGGGTCGGCGTGCGAGCCGGGGACGGCATGACGGGCAGCTTCGGGGCCGGCAACTACAGCAGCCTGAGGATGAGTTGGGTGGTCAGATGCAGGGCAGGGCGAGAAAACAGCACACTTGCTAGCTTGCATACCTTTGCCATAGTAGGTGGCAGAATAGAATGATTGGGTGGAAGCATGCTGCATTCATACCAGAGTTATAAAAAATAAACAGCCTTTCTGACTTGGTGCGAGTGCTACATTTTTAAAGCACATTTTAAACATCCAGAATCAGGTGTGTCCCACGCAGTGGGCGCCGGGCGGATTGTGCCAGAATTTTGGTACAGCATCCAATGTACCTAACGGTCTAACCCCATGCACTAAAATTTCGGAGCACGGTCAAAAAAGGATTTCAGTGCAAGAAGACGATTTCAAAAATTTTGGCACAAGGCAATGAAACCCAACCCTAGCTAACTTCCCTCGCTGTACAGTCACTTCTAGTTTTAGGGCCCAATCAGCACCTAACTATCCGGCATTTCCCCGACTTACCACCCGTGATTTCCTTGATCGAAAGGGTGTGACTCTCAATGTAGCCCACCCAAAGTATTTCCTATCAGCTAAACTTGTTCTGCTAGTGCACACTACTGATTTCCCACAATAACCTGCCCAACAAGACACAGGTCATACAAATAATTTCCTGGAGGATCACACAGTGTAGCTTGGGCTTTGTTATGAAACTTTTCATCATTGATGGCATAGATTGGGACATGTATGGGTAGTCGTAAAGCAGGCGTCACACTTCCATGTGTATGGCTGGAGGTAGTGTGACGGGCTGTGACCTTGAGACTGGTGCTAGTGTCGTCGCAATACATTACATCACGGACATACTATCGATGCATTGACTAGTTGACTGCTGGAACCAGTCCCGCTGGAACCGGCTGACTCCCACTATGTTCTGCAGTAGTAGGTTGAGTCCCACTTTGTCCCGCTGGGACTAATCCCATTGTGTCTCGCTTGGACCAGCCAAGTCCCACTATGTCATTGATAGAAAACATGCATCAATAGCACGTCCGTGACGTAATATATTGCGACAGACAACACACAAGGCACAACACTAGCACCAGTCTCAAGGCCACAGCCCGTCACACTACCTCCAGCCATAAACACAAGTGTGACGCCTGCTTTATGACTACCCATGTACATGCTTGAACAGAAAAAAGGTTAAAATTTGGCACACATAAGCATTACCTACTGTTAACGCCAGACCCCTTGAGACCCTAATTTTTCGCGATTATTTTTAAATGCGTGGAGGAATTTCAACCAAGCTCAGGATATGGCCGTTTCAAGACCTGCCGAAACTTTTACAATTTAGATATTTTATCGCCATTTCAATATTTCAGGCACTTGTCATTGACTCGTAATGTTAACTGTTTTTCCATCCTGGATAGAGGCTTTCTACGTCATATGACATTAGGCTCCGCCCACGACTGCGGCATTGACCCGTGCCCATCAGCGACCTCTGTACAAACGACACCCCTGCCATCTGTAAAGGACTATGAATTTCGCTGACGCTTCACGTGCTATGAATCAATTGCAGCAGACGGTCAAGTAAATGTTAGGCTCTTGTTGACACTTGTATATAGGACCAAGAGGACCATCACTCCTCAACCTACTACTCACACGTGCTTCGAACAAACGTTAACGATTCCTAATTAATACGATTTTCGATATAGGGTATCTGTTTGAAATACGAGCGAGCCTTATGATGTGAAGCGAAGGCAATTAACTTATTATTGCGTTGTTCGAGGGCTGCATAGCGATGTACAAATCGGCAGCTACTTGGTGATATCCGACATCCCATTATCGCATTATCTGCAACGCCATAGGCTTTAAATGCAGGTGAATATCTCCTAACCTTATGTCAGTTATATGCCATCTGCCCGTCATTTGCAGCTTATAAAAAATAAAACAAATATCAGCGAACAAATCAGCATTGTACAAGCAATGCGCATTGAGCATGTATGGCTCCTCAGTCATCATGTCGCTCTCTGGGCACTGTCAGCCAAGACGCTATGCACAACTCCGCCGGCTTTCGGCACCGCTCGACCGTCCCCGCTCCCCGCCACAGCGAGAGTGACCGCGCGCCGGCCCGAAACCGCCGCAGGCCAAGACCACAGAGGCGGGGCTTAGCTGTGACGTCATAACGTATCACAGACTGACTGGTGATAGCCTCTACACACCGGGTGAAAATCTTGCTCGAAATTTAACATTACGAGTCAATGACAAGTGCCTGAAATATTGAAATGACGATAAAATATCTAAATTGTAAAAGTTTCGGCAGGTCTTGAAACGGCAATATCCTGAGCTTGATTGAAATTCCTCCACGCATTTAAAAATAATCGCGAAAAATTAGGGTCGCAAGGGGTCTGGCGTTAACAGTAGTACCTACCATATTATTGCAAATTGCACCAAAATCTCAGTTTTCTTATAGCAGGCATCTCACATGCTGCCACCACAGTTGGGCAAACTAGACCTTTGGAATCAAAATATGGAGGCATCAAAAGATTGATTCCTGATGACCATATTTGGGCATAAATGCAGACCATTTCTAACTTACCAAACACTTAAAAATAAGAGAGTATTTCAAGAAGGAGCATGCCTGATCTTGAACAGAAATGCTGGAAGTATCTCCTAAGCAAAATAATATTGCTCCTATCATAACGATTTGAATTCTATAGGTAGTTAAAGGCAATCAAGGAATTGATTCACTTTAAACAGATAATCATAATATTGATTCCTCATCAGCTGGCTAATCATTATTTTGATTCACAGGTAATGTTAAGAGATAGGCAACAATGGCATGCAAGAATACATCATTTATCTTGCTATTATTCTCATTAAGTGGTATCCTCAGTACCACAACAGATACCTATAGCATTGTTGTACTTTACCTTCACTACATTTGATAACAATTCACAATTTTTAAACGTCAAGAATACAAAACTGAAGCAACAGGTAAAAACCATATAATAAATATAAAAACACTACAACAATGATAATTAGGGGTTTGAAAATTTCATTTTGCCATTTTACACAAATACTGATTGTTTAGTATGCGATTCATGTTACAAAAATAACATACAGTGTGATTTCCTCAAAACAGCTTTTACGTGATGGTCAGTGCCTCTGTCTTTTTCCCATTCACAAGGCCAAAGGGACAATTTCTCAGTTTTGAGGTAACACTTTTTGCAAACCTACCACATTTTTCTACCTTTTTAAACAAAAATCTCACCGTCATGGGCCTTTTTTCAACCGTAACGATACATTTGAAGTCAAAAGTGTACCCAAATGAATCAAAAAATTGATTCTATGCCCATATTTGGTCATGGCTCCTCCCACCAGAATCAAATTATTGATGCCTCCATATTTTGATTCTAAAAGTCTAGTTTGCCCAACTGACCAGTTTGGGGAAAGTCGCTAGATTCGTCAGGTCTAGAGATATTTCTACCAATTCACTATATAGGGTAATTACATAGCGGTGATTTCACAAACGGAGTCAGTTTTTTCTGAGGGGGGCAAGGGGGTACAACGGATAACTTGTTCCCCGGGAGGCGGGAACGCCTGATCGGAGTCAGGCTTGCAAGGCCGCGTTGGAAACTTGGAAAGCGTTCGAATAGACAAGCCTAATGGCTAATGTAATGCGAATTATCATCGGAATTCACTGGAACATAAGCATTTATTGACTATCACGATCGTCTAAGTTGGGTAATGATGCTGCTTATTACTTGAATCCCAATCCTGCGATGAACAGCTTGAGCTGCGGGCAAAAATCCACGTACCGATTGAAAAACAAATGGAAGATCAAAGATAAAATCATTTTATTATAATAAAATAAAAATAATTTATGAACCATACCTTGTAAAAACGGCGAGAGTTCTACACCACACAACACAACCGACAGCACCAAGGCTGTAGAACTCCGACAGCACCAGACAGCACCACCGCGCGCCACATTTGTTTACGAAAATGGCAGCGAGCGCGGCGAGTTTTGGCGGGAGCAGATCAAGAAGTATTTCTTATCTCATCTCAGAAAGCAAAAATATGGTAAAAACATTAACTTGCGTTTGAAAGCGATATATCATAAATAATTTCCTTTTAAATTTATATTGAACAGCATCGACATGTATTTGTAAGCGAAAAGCAGCATTTTGTTGGTGAGAAATGGTTAAAAACTTTTGTTCTTGAGGCTTAGAGTGGCCACTTTTTCACATGAATCATATCGATACTGAATTGATGCTCGTGAAAATGGAAAACATGCAGGCCGTAGCCCGTAACGTAACCATCAATCCTAGCTGCAAGAGACCCAATTTCAAAATAACTACTCTGTTGTCAACCAGTGCTCAAATCTAAGATAATAGCTGAGCTGCAGTAGCTTAATATTACCTGTAGCTAGGCATAAAAGCTTTCATTTCTCAACCCGGCATAATATTCATTATCCAAGCCAATAGTACTCCAGTTTTAGGCGCAATATTTCCCTTAACAAGCCAATAGCAGTGCATCCCACATCACGTCAAATACAACTACAAAGCCTGTTTTAATGTATTTGCCTCAGGGATAACACAACTACAAGCTGCACCGAATCGGCCACGACCCCCAGTCCGAGGGCACAAGCGTGCTGCTCACCGCGCGAGGGCAAGTCAGACGACCGGCCGACATCGGCGGGGATGCAGCAGTGTGAAAGGCCGACTACACACGGCTCCAGGCAGGGGCGTCGCCACGGATTTTTGAGTGGGGGGGTCGGGTTTCTAGTCTTCACCCGATGGGTAGGGGTGTTTTTTTTTTGCCACACTTCCCAGTTTTGTGCGTGCGTATGTGTGTGTGCGCGTGTGTAACAAATCGGCGCGAAGCGCCGCGAATTTTGGTATAACCTATTAGGTAGGTATACCTACCTACATCACTTGCGTAAAAATTATCACTGGTCACTTAAGGTCAGGTCGCCATGTCAAGTTCAGTTATACGGTATACCTCTATCAAACTTTCTTCTCTCGCCATTCTTGTAGCTTTTCTCCCATAACTTCGAAATTTGGTACACTGTATACCTAATGTATGGGGTTATACGTATCAGCAATTCATTATTCTGAGGATTTGCATCTATGATCTGGAGGCAGGTCAAATACGTGACCTCATCATTAGAAAATAATGAGAAATTAGAAAAAGCACGAATGCCTCCTGCTTTGAAAAAGTTCGTCAGAAACGCAAAATATCTTTGGAGCCATGACAAATCAGCTCATCATTGCCAGGGACAGGGTGCAACTTATAATGGCGAGTGATGTCTCGAAAGGTCATTAGTGGAAATGTCCATCGATGGCCACCAGCATTTTTTTTTCTAAACTTTTGACGAAGACGCGGTAGAGCGATGACAGCACCTGGAAGGTGTTCACTGTTCAGCTCAACAACACGGATCCATTCATATGCAGCAGGAGGTCCTTTTTCGATCATGACATAACGTTGACCTGAGGTCGTTTTAACGTTAATTCTGAATGGTCAAATTTTAACTCATGTGACGCGTCTCAAAGAAATAAACACGGTGGTGGCAAGACAACATATGTAAATACCAAACAAATTCACGGAATCTAAAGTTATTGCAAAGCAAATGTTTCGGCAGAATCTGTCCAGCTAGCTGTTTGCCTTCTATGGGCAAAACATAGACCTGAGATGAAATCTGACGCGAAGCTAGCGAAAGAGCGTTGAAAGAGCTATCGAATATGTTTTCTGCTTCACTGTAGCCCTTCTATTGGTGGGTTCCCAGTCGCTAACGTATAACTTATACTAAAGTACCGCTGAGGTATGCTTTCGACCCCTGATCGATCTAGAGGTTTGCGGAAAAAAGAGCATGCTGCCCGTGACGAGAGAAAGCCGATGATACCCATTTACAAGGTTTCGGGTCATCTCAGGACTCAGGTCATCGCCATTAAGTAGGGAAACTCGGGACCTGCTAGAACTTTGCGAATGTCAGTTGTGATGGTTTTTCGAGGTTCTGATTACGAATGTTATCTTAGTTTTGAACGAAGACGATGACTCCATGCATTTGGGGTAGATCAGGTCAGGTCAGATCGACCAGTACCTAATAGTGGATGACCACCACCGATTGCTTCCTAACATGTTATACATATGTATAAGCAGCACAACTACTTCTTAACCCGGCAGTAGCTGGGGTATTTCGCCACCCACCGTTTGCTGGGGGGGGGGGGGCGTTAAACGCCCCCAGCCGATAACTCGAGAACCAATAGGCGCAGCGAAACGCACGAGGCGGCAAACGAAAGAACGCGACGAGACGCTTCAGATGAGTACTTTAAAGTTGAATTTTGAGGTCACAGGTCGGGTCAAGGTCAGGTCAAACACCTGAAATCGGGCTTTCAGTAGCATGGACTTCAGGACTTCGCAATGGGCGCCTCTCGTCATAAACTATGTCAAAACGGTGCACAATCCATCATATAAGGCCTACAAGAGTGTCAGCTCCATGTAGGGGTCAGTCAAGCATAGGTCAGGGTCAAGGTCAGGTCAACCGGGCAGGCACTTATCCCCGAAAATCAAAACTGATATTCGCAGCCTGTGACACATGTTTTATGGGTAATTTGGGGCGTAGAACACGATGGTGGAATACATTTTATCATATGTGTACGTGTTTGACTAAAAAAGTTCAATTTAAGAAATACATGTATCATGGTCGTGAAGTAGTCACGAGAAATTGCCAAGATTCAGTTCAAGATTTTGGAAAATGCGGAACGATAATCAATAATCGAAGATAGCCATTTGATTGTTCATGGTATTGGCAGTCTAATGGCGTTTACGGCATGTCTGTATGTCTATTCTGTGATTTTATATGATTTTTTGAACATATGCCGTTTTTGGTCGAAAACTCAGAAATCATGACGTCACTAAAACCTCGATATCTCAAAAATTTTCCAACCGATTTTTTTGAAACTTTGTCACAATAAACTTCAATCAATTCCCTATAGGTACCCAAAATTTGGCGCGCCTGCGGCGCGCCGTTTTTATGCTATGGCCCGGCGAAAAAGTGGGGGCGTTTAACGCCCCCCCCAGCAACTCGCGGGTTAAATGTTCAGATGGGCGCTAAGTTCAAAATCAGCTCCAAAAACTTTCCTATACCTAAATTAAAAGCATGTTATGAAAAAGTGAACCAAGGTCATCTTTATTTGAATCAGGGATATCGATTTATTTTTTAGTAGGTGATTAACTCGAGCGCACCGGAAGTTTCGTTGCAATCGGCTCCTTTTTGCGCGACTTCTTTGCGAAAGCCCGAGACGGTTTCATCTGACTCCCTTTCCCCTACATGTGCACTGTACAGCTAGTTGTGACGGTAGCCATGGGGCTGAGGCTAGTTTGTAGTTTTGTAGTTAGGTACTGATCCGACGAATCGACTGCGACCATTTTTTTTTTAACGATCAGACGAACGCTCGGGGCAGTTTTGGCGCGTCCAATCTTTTGAGGGATAAAAAGGTACAAGAATGGTGGCTACTTAAAAATATTGTTGTGCTGGTGTTCCCCGCCCATAGCTAATTGAACTTTAGGTAATTGGCTAATTGGCTTTAGGGAGCTCTTGAAGCGATTCTGAATCTGATGTATTTGTTGGTGTTGCTGACGCCTGCTTCACTGACATAAAAGCTAAAAAAGCATACTCAGCATCGCAAAAAGTGGGGGGGTCGACACCCCCAGTTTTCAAGAGTGGGGGGTCACGACCCCCCCGACCCCCCCGTCGGCGACGCCCCTGGCTCCAGGTACACATTGGGGACGGGTGGGTATGTTAGTATCAGATCACCGGCACGGCTAAAGCGAACAAAAGCCTCACGCAGACTCGTGTCGGGGGTATAGTGCCTTACAAGCCCGATGAGGACATACAGTGCTCACACATTAGCTACACGCTGACATTTAAACGACATCAAGCTCAAGCGGTATACTCTAATTATCCCACAACCCACTCATCAGAAAGCCATATAACAGCGTTTAGATATTCACCAACAAGCAAGCCGTGATCATCAATTCATTAGCTTCTAATGGCTACAGGCCCACAACCCTTACTGCTCATAGACCTATGTTTACCGTTTGACCACAGATGGCGCGAAAACGCGACAAGCCCCTCGTGTTGTCACGGTACATGAAAAGTTCGTGCATAGCGGTCTCAGCAGATTAAGTGGGTCGCATTTACTGGAAGCTGGTGTTGGACAGTGCAAGGCAGTGTGATAAGGCAGCAGTTGACATTATAAATGCATCCAAAATCTAGGCTAGAATTATGCGTTCACCTTTCATGATAATATTATAGTATACTGTAAACACTTCAGGTTCTCTTGGAAAAAAAATCAGTAATAGAACAGAGTTCAGACTATCAACAATGTTTAGAAAATATGTGCGCGGTAGAAAAATACGAGATTCACTGCAAATATCGTCAAATCTTGCCAAATACGGCCGGCACGATCATTACCCTGCTACAGTAGCAATTCTGGCTAAATAGGTACGTTGCAGATTCCTGGAAGTACGCAGACCAAAGCTGGATACAATCGAAGTGAATAAAGGCACATGTCCAGCACATTCGAGGCGCATATCATACCACGACCAATAGCGCGAAACATTGCTATGCTATGCAATATGCATGTGTTAGATTAAAGCAAGTGATCGGCGGTTACTGGCCTCCTTTGGTTCCCTGCGAACGACAGAGCTGACATGGTAGATGGAAGCACGCGACAGCTATGGGCCACACGAATCACGATACCCTTTCACAACAGCTAAGCTGCTTCAAGTCCAACAGGCACACTAACCAAGTCCGTATCATCGTAATATGAATTATGGTATACAGTCGGTTAATAGACGAAGTCCGTTTGGCCTTTACCATTCGATTATGCGACACACCATGAAAAACGGTAATCCAAACAACATTGCAGGATTAGAAACGTTTTAGCAAGGATTTGAACACTCGGCGTTACATAAAAATTGGTAAAAAGAAACACAACTACTACGGTATCCCACCGATACTTAATGCCAAATGAGATTGCTATTAGAAAGAAGCGTATCTAAATAAAGAAGATTAGCAACCGGAACACAGCGGCAAATCCGCCGAACGGTTACAAATTAACCAAGGCCATCATTCCCACCGCAATTATGCCTATCGCCAAAGCATGGATAAATGTAAGCAACACGCACACACACATCACGCCGAAAAATAAACCTAAAACAAATAAATGTTAATGCAAAATAGTTCATCAAACAAGCGAAGGTCCAAAAAGAGTAGTTAGTGCTGACTACTTACACTCAAGGAAGCCAATCCGCAAGACAATACCAAGATGGCAGTCGTCGTGTTTGACAGTCACTCGTAAAAAGACACCAAGAAGACAGTGCCAGTGAGAGCAAACGCAGTAGACTAGGCACGACACTAGGCACAGCGCTAAGCAGTTAGGCACAGCACAAGTCACGGTGCTAGGTGGAGCGCTGGACACGGCAATAGGCTTGCAACAAATACCACGGGAGTGATAATAGTAGGGGTTACAAGAGACAGTCCCAGACACATACAAAACACTGGAACCCTACAAAGAAAGATCAGAAATCCTGCACAAATCAAAATTTGGACGGAACCATGAACAACTTTCGACTCCTAATCCTCGAGTGGATTTTTAGCGGCAAACAAATATTAGTTGTACAGCAGGTCGATAAATAGGAAAACAGGAAAAAGGACTAGTGTTCAAGGAGCCACACTGACATCTAACCACAACATAACAACACCCGACCTGTTATAATAGCCCATAGGTACTGCTTGTCGCCACCTTCGGCGCCCCGTTTGGATAGCCCCACTGGTACCGAGTGTCGGGGTGTTAGCTTGCACGTCTCTGTCGCCCAATGCCGGTTGGCCGGTGACCAGACGCTGGAAATAATACCCACACGGTCAGTGTGTGGCCACAAGCCAAAACAAGTGCCACCTTCTCATTGGAAGCTACCCGCCCAGCCAATAACTCGTGACGGGCTCCCTGGGCGGGGTGAGCCGGCGGGCGTTTCCCACTCCGCACCCAGAGATTCACAGAGCGGTGGTGCGTCGGGGGAGAGATAGGAAGCGCCGCAGAGGTGACGGATGGCGACCCAGCGAGGCGGGGAGGTCAGACGTCAGGATATCAGGACGGGGACTCGACGCTGAGGGAGTTGGACTACCAACGGGGTCTCGCCGATAGTCAAATTATGCCGGGTTCAATTTATAGCAATCTGAAGTGAGTCCATAACAGTTCAAAACTCGCGGCGATACTGTAGAAATATTGGACATCCCCTGGCGGCGTCGGGTCGAGCTGAGTGTTGCTGTTTGTCCGTTGGATGGCGCCACGGTCGGCGCCTAGGCCACCTGCCGGACGGTGGTGGTCTGTGCGGCGCTCATAGTGGCGCCCGACCTCCAGGCCCGGTACATGATGAATGTCTCGATGGCGTACAGCGCCGCCAGGATCAATCCAAACACCTGCAAGGGAAGTGGCAGGAGCCTCAACCGAGTGGCACAAAGAAAAAAATGGGAAGATAAATACCAGTATTTGTGTTTTAAAAGGATTCGAAGTGTTCAAATTGATGTGTTGGTACACAATTAAAAAACATGATGAGTCACGACTTTTTGACAGATTTTATCATGCATCACTTCCGCACATACTGTGAAAAAATTAGACAAAGGTCATTCAAGGTCAGGTCACCAGAAACTAGTCATGTGACCTCACCTAAAAAGTTTCATTGTCTGCAATGCCTACACCGTGACCGATCGCTTTGAAACTTTTAGTATTTGATGAGACTGCAGCAATATGTACAAAATGTACGTCTCGGAAACGCTCGGAATTATGATATCGGTGACCTAAGGTTAGGTCAATTTTGCGACCTCCTAAGTGAATTGGAGAAAATTGAAAGGCGCTCTATTCGACGAACGCCACTCTAAACGCTTTCAAACACGAGTTACAAGTAAACATAACACATTGAACCGGAAAATGGCACCCGTGACCCTGTAGGGATCATCTAATGCCATTTGTCATTTCATGTTGTCATTTTCATTTATATTGTCAAAGTTTACAACCCCTCCGTATGTCCCTAAGGTCATATCAGGTCACGAAAGGTAAGTATCTAACAGTTTTTCGGTAATAACTCTTAAAAGACGCATGCTAGAGCGATGAAAATGCCCTAGATGTGTTCGGCTCGACGATACGAATAGACTAACATGCAGCATGACTTTTCCGGTCAGGTCATGACCTCGATCTGAGGTCAAATCTTCAAGCTGACCTTTCAAGGACAAAATATAGTTCATTTCACGCGTCTCGACGAGAGAAACACGATGCTGGCAAAAGTTATGTCGTGACTCCTTTGAGTCAAAAGTTATTGAAGAAAAACATGTTTCGTCACAACGGCTATTTTTTTTAACTTTTACCCTCTGGAGGCTAAACCGTTAACCTGAGGTCAAACCAGAGGACAAACTCCAGAAATATGGTTAAAAGGGCTATCGAATGCGCTTTTCTTAGCTCAACGGGTTCCCGAGTTACGTGCCGCTGTTAAGAAAACTGTTGAAATAGGCAACATTTTACCTTTGATGACCTCTGGTGACCTGATATTAAACCTGACCTAAACATAGCTGAAATATTTTCGTCCTTATTTTGCACGTTCTTTCGACTGCCGCTTAACCCTATTCCTGGCGGGGGGGGGGCCTCAGGAGCCCCCCCCCTGAGGTTTTTTGGTTATTTCTCCCAAACGCGTTGAGCTAGGAAGCTCAAATTTTCTGACTTTTCCTAAAAGGCTTCTACGCAACATGTCTGAAAATTTTGAGTTGATCTGACCTCAGGTCAGGTCACCAGAGGCGGTTTGGTGACCCTACCTCAGAAAAGTTTGCAATCACGCCAGAGCTAGAGTTTTTGACCGATCAATTTCTTCTCTTCAGGCTTTAGTTAGGGTACCAGTATGTGCAATTTGTATATCTCGGAATTTTGATATCGGTGACCTAAGGTCAGGTCAGTTTCGCGACCTCCCCATTATAAGTCAATGGGGGAAAAATCAACTCCCTGTTTTTATCACTAAAACGGGTCGGAATGGCCCCATATACCATACATGACTTCATATACGATCAACCTTCACTACCTTGAGGTCTGTTTTGCTGTTGGGCAGCTGTGAGGTCATGTGACGTCATCAAAGGTCACCAAAGGTTTTTGGCCAATAACTCCGTACAGGAACAAGATACAGACGCGTGGATGGTCTCATTGTGTTCAGCTCGTCAAGACGCATCGAATGATATACATGATGACCTCGAGGTCACGTGACCTGAGGTCAACCTTTGACCTTGACCTTTCGAGGTCAACATATATATCATTCGATGCGGATTGACGAGAGGATCACGATGATGCCCTTAGTTTGTTCCTATCTTGACTAATTCGAAAGTTATTCGAGAAAAACTCTCTCCATATCTAGCGCCGCCATTTTGACTTTTTCGACCCCTGTGACGTCATCTTTGACCTGACCTGAAAATAACCTCAGTAAAAATTGTAGACCTTGTCCATGCGTATCCGATGCCGTTTACCGCTTGTCGCTATCTTGCTTTGTTCTCGAGATCTCAGGGGGGGGGGCCGAATCGGCCCCCCCCCCGCCAGTTTCTTGTCCCGGCGGAGCCCGCCAGGAATAGGGTTAAAGGGACCCTCCCACCTTCAAAAAAGTTAATGAATTGCCATGAAAGTGATGTCGCTCGGTTCAGAAAGAGCGAAAACGAATATCTACCAAATTTCATCGAAAAATATTCACCGGTTTTCAAAATATTAGACTTTTACTTTTGTTAAGTGCGGCATTCGTTGCGCGCAAAGCGGCATATACCACTGCGTGTTACCAAACGTTTTAGTAAAAGATTTAGACACGTTAGATCTACGCTGACGTCACAAATTCTAAGGGGGCATTCCAATGCATTAGCCCCTTATAATCCGAAAACTACAAGTTTGAAATTCCATATCTCCGAATTAAAGCATTTTCGATGTTGTGAGTGCCCAAACCGGTATTTTCAGGCCACGGCCACCAATTTGACTACCTCAACTCAAAACTAATGTTAAGGTGGGATGGTCACTTTAACGAATGTCGCTACGTGACCCAGGAGCCGAGTTACAGCCCTCCCCTCCCCATCCCCCTCAGCAGGGCATGAAAATCCAGGGCCCTCAGCGGGTTATGCCGGTCGCGCTGTTACTTACCCCTGCCACCATCAGGCCAGTCTCGCCATAGTATTTTTGTGCGCGTGTGATGGCAGCAATCGAGCCGGCTATGAAAAAGATGCAGAGGATACCGCTGTAGACCATCTCCTGCCGAGGAGAGCCGCCAAGGTGTCAGGCACAAGACGTCCTAGGACAGCAGCCAACAGCGTCCACTACCCACCCAGGTATTTATCGTGTCCAGCCCACACTCACAGTGTCCACAGTGTCCACCAGTGTGTACAGAGGGCTCAGAGCAGCTTACGGCCTTATGAAACCAGTCCACTGTACACGGCTCGCTAAAATTAAATGCGGGCAATGACACCGATCAATGAACTTAAGTCTTATTACGCGTCGGTCATTCTGGCGACATTCAATAAATGCAACGTAGCCATCATGACACGCAACGATACGATACGATGCTTGGGATTGTCACACGGGAGCAGCCTTGTGATACACATACCTCCGAACAGAAAGCAATTGTGAGTTCTGACTAACACTGCTATGCCGCGGAGCGACCAGCCTCACTGAGCCGAGCCGCAGAGCCCCAGTGGCAGTGTGTGTCTGACTCTAGTGGCCGTGATGGCACTCACCACGAAGTTGAGCCGCAGGGTGGGGGCCGCCTTGTCACGCAGATGAGTCACATAGATGATGAACAAGATGAGACCCACAACGAGGCCGGTCGTAGCGCAGAAGTAGTAGAAGCTGGCCGGACTCGAGTACGGATTGTATGTGGATGCCACGCAGATCATGCCGAGTATGCAGAACAGCTAGCGGGCGGAGAGAGGCCGGTATTCAGTGGTCTGGCAACAATGCCAGGGTTTGAGGGCGCCGGGACAAATAAGCTGGGCTCAGAGGCCACCGGAGAAATGAGGAGCATACCTAATATCTTCCGGTCCTGTGCCATAGACAAAACGAGCAAACATCAGCAAATTTATGGAAGGACATTACCTACTAATGATATGGGTTCGTCTTAGAGTTCATGGATAGTCAAGAGGCAGGACATGCTATATTTTACAATCTCATATAGTTTACCCTTACCATCTCAGCCATCTTTAGGATCACTTCTTTCCTGCGCAGCATGGTCTTGTCGAAGAAGATGGTGCGCGTGGTTGTTGTAGTCGTAGTGGTGTAGGTGCTAGGCATGTTGTCTGCCATGGTGAGTCACTTGGTGGACTGGTAATGGTCCGGTAGATATCTGCCATAGAGAGACAATTGAGCTAAATCTTGGCTAAATCTATAAAAACGTTGTCCACTTAATTAAAACTTCAGGCAGTAGTAAAGCAGGCATCACACTTGTTTTTTTTTTTTTTTTGCAACCAAGGAGAGGCGCCGTAGGTTAGGTTGTAGGTTTTAGGTGGTGGCTGTACTTGTAGGTGTACGACACCTCCCGTACCGAGAGCGACTGAAAGCACTGCAGCTGCCAACGCTGTACTACAGACGGAGGCGCGGTGATATGATCACGGTTTATCAGCTGCTACGCGGTGGACTTGACATAAACCCTCACAGCTTCTTTGAGATGGCATCCAACAGAACGCCTGCCACAAGAGGACACCAGTGAGACTAGTCAAGCCGCGAGCAGTCTCCAGGATCCGGCGCAACGCGTTTTCCATCCGCGTTATCAACGACTGGAACAGCCTACCGCCAGCGGTCGCCGGCTCTGACACTCTGAACCAGTTCAAAAACCGGCTGACGCCCACTGGGCACACCTCGCACACGACACCCCCATAGGTGGGCACGATCCGTTCCTCCATTCCTCCGTTCCGGAACGCCGTTACAATTTTTAGGAACGGAGGAACGGACTCGTTACATTTTAAAAAAGGTAACGGACCAAGTAACTTCCGTTACATTGGTTGTTCGTTCCTCCGTTACACTTTACAGTTTAATCCGTTCCTTCGTTCCTCCGTTACTTTTCGTTGTCCGAGCGGGCTGATCTTTTAGCTAACCCACAGACATTGATGCAGCAGCGGAATAGTGGATTATTGATCAGCCCTGACTTGAAGAAGGAAGATGGCCTCAGTGTACTGGCCTTCCGAAATGAGCTGGCGTTGCAATATGTGCTCGCAAAGTTCAACTCGGGCGTCCCTTCAAGCGCCTCAGTACAGCGCATTTTCTCAATGGGAAAAGATGTTCTACGTGCAAAAAGGGCTACCCTCTCAGAAAGTGGCAGCGGAACATCTTAAGGGAGGGGGGGGGGGCACTCCCGACTTTTAGTCCCATTCTTTCCATGCAACGCACATAGGGCTAATGTTAAAATGCCAAAATCAAAGGGGGCACGGTGCTCCGGTGCCCCCCCCCCCCCGTTCCGCCGCCTATGCTCTCAGATGCCAACCTGGAACGTCTAGTGTTCGTGAAGAGCAACCGGCATCTGGCCGGGGAGAAGTGATGCGCAATCGCATCAGTGCCACCAGACTTTCCAAGGTTTAGTGTCCAATCAGTGTCCGCTGTCTTGGTAGATTTGGTTGGCATTCCGTTTTCTCGGTAGGTTTAGTTTGTGTCAGAATGGTCTAAAAAATGTGTGAAATACACAACATTTTAAAGTTTTTTATTTTGTTGTAACGGAGTAACGGACTAAAGAACTTCCGTTACATTATATGCAGAGGAACGGAGGAACGAGTAACGGAAGTCAGGTTTTGAAGGAACGGAGGAACGAGTAACGAAGTTACAATTTTGGGGAACGATGCCCACCTATGGACACCCCTCACGCAGACGAATAGTCAGACGCACGAGGAGCTCGACTAGAAAGGTTTCTAAAGGCCTTTGGCCTATCCATCCAAATTCCGTACTTCGTAAGTAAGTAAGTAAGTAAGTGAACTGACTACTAAGTGAATTGTGAACTACACATTCTAATTTTGAAATGAAGGAACTGTTACAAAAGTACTTGTACTGTAGTTACAAGTTTGGAGTGGACCAACCAACCTGAGCTCTGTTCGCCCCCCCCCCCCCGTTTATCTATCAGCAGGCTGCGAGCATGCTGCTACTTCTTGGCTCCTCATTGGTCGAATTTAAGTGGACTATTCGTTAGACCAATGAGAGGCCAAGAAGCGAAGGCAATAACTTCCTTATATGTGGAAAACCGACAGCACGCTGATATAAAAACAGCGACCGAATAGAGCTCATGCACACCATTCCGTGCTTCTATCCTCAGGATACTGAAATCCTTCTCCACGCCGCAAAGCCCTCCGGGCTGGACAGGCAACTTTATCTCATGCGGGCTGCTCCCTTGGAGCGGTATCGCTGCTCCCGAGGGAGCGCACCCCGTAGCCGGGTGCAGTGAGTACCTTGGGGCTGGTCGGCCCGTATTTCAGGACGGGCTCAGCCCCGGTGACTCACTAGGGTGCCTGCCCAGACCAATGTCTCCCCCTATATCCTAACATCCTCCCGGCTCTGAAATGGTCTAATTTGAATTGGACCGAAAGAGCCTAACCCAACAAAACAAACAAACAAACAAAGCTCATGCCTTCAGCCACCTTCAGCCTCTGATTCTTGGGGCAAGCGGGCGGTGTTTTACAGCAGAGCGCTGCGCGCATTGGTGCATTGGATTTCCATGGCAATATCAACAAACTCCACTCTAACACTACGCTATGACGTCATCGTAAAACACTAGCACCCCAGCGCCAGCGGTAAATGTCAAGTTTAAGTCCTAAGAAGATTTCGTTGATAATTTTTCATATTTTTACATTATTTGACATCCTGAATCCAAAAATGATACTCATATGTCTCGCAAATAAAAGAAAAAACATAATCAAACCTGACCTAACCTTACCTACTTACCTATAACCTACCAACCTACAACCTACAAACCTACCCTAACCTAACCTAACCTACAAACCTACCTACCGTAAAATGGGGTGTTAAGGGACAGTGGGGTGTTAAGGGACAGTTGCATGGGAAAAACTTTGAGTCATATTAACTTCCTAATTTGAGAAGGTTCAATAAAAACTTCAGTGTGGTAGTTGACACTGTTTTGCTCTTGACTATAGGACAAAATGCTATGGTTTTTCATGCAAGTGATTTGGTTCAAAAATGGATTTGAAAATCATGCTACATTTTCACAAAATTGAAACATCTCCAAAACTCTATGTGTACCTCATAAACTAGTGGGTGTACAGGGAAAATGAATGCATAGGTGTATTGTCACATGTATTGCACATGTTTCCTGAAAAACTTGTGCAAATCCACCCATTCATTCATCATCCTCTTCCTCTTTTCTGGATACATGCATATTTTGAGGTGGATGTGGGGTGCTAAGGGACAGGGAAGAAAAAATAAAAAAGAAAATCTAAATATAATTTAATCAAGTTTTCTTTCAGTAGGCATGGAAAACACCAAATTCCACATTAAATGCTGGCAAGTTCATGCTTTTATCTCTAACACATCTTAAGTTATGTAACAAAACATCTCAACACTCTCTTTTACAATGATGGGTCAATGGAGACTGATGTATGTAAATGTGATGTCATCATAAAAAGGCCAAAACAAAGAGGGCAACATAATGACAAGTGACTAGCTTCAACATGGGTTTTTATTGATGACAGAAGATTACTTCTTGGTTCTGTTTGCCTTATAATTAGCACATTTTCCACAAGCGTAAACAGCATTACACGTAATTGGCTAAAAAGGTCATTAGTGGTGAATGAACCTGACTTGTTTTGTGACAGAATATGCAAAACATTTCAATAAATAAATTGTGTGCCCTTCCACACCCCAATTGTGGGCATTTGATGACCATTTCTTGGAATAATATAGGTGTCCCTTAACACTCCACATTGGGGTGCTAAGGGACATTGATGAAAAATAATAAAAAATAATATGCAGGTATACATCTTAAAAACTTTAATGTGGCAGGCATGTAAAACACCAAATTCCACATAAAATGCTGACAATTTGATGCTTCTATCTCCAACCCTTCTTGAGTTATATAACAAAACACCTCAAAACTGTCCCTTAACACCCCATTTTACGGTACCTACAACCTAAAACCTACAAACCTACAACCTAACCTAACCTAAAACCTAAAATTTTTGTTGTTTCATATTCGTACCAACAGCGTCACAATTGTAGTTAGGACCTAAACTTGACATATACCGCGCCAGCACCATCAGCCCGCTAGCAGCATCCGCACTCAAACCTCTGTTCTCTCTGTACTTGGTTCCTTAGGACCTCTGTTCCAAACACGATTCATCATAAGCTAACGGATCACACACAATGTCAGGGGTATGCCTTAGCTCCAAGCGCGCTGCAGCGCACGCAGCGTCAGGCGGTGAAACAAGGGTCTGGAGTTCTATAGCCTTGGGGCAAACACGGTGATTCCCCTTCACCACCCTTCACCTCCCAAACTTGAACTGAAACCGGAAACCCCAGCCCAGAGCTTCAGCTCTATGGAGTATGGAAAGCAACTATTGGAACTCGACTCCCATAGTAATGACAGTAGCAAAAATACCAGATTTAACCAATAAACACAAGTAAAATGCCTACCTATCGTGTGCCAATCCCGAATTGAACTCCACAACTGTCTAGTGGTAATCAATTCATATGCAAAAAGAGCCTTGGAAAGAAAAACTTCTGCGCAATGAATGTCTCAAGGCAGTATTTATCCATGGCCACCAAATTGATGTGTCAGTATAGATTCCCTCGTACCTACTTCACAAATATTCATAGAAATTAAGAACATTTATCTAGGTAGTTGTTATGTATGCGGCGGCCTGGCTCGTGAACTAAAAAAATGACACTCCAAAAATGGTGGACAGACAAAAGGGCCTATTTTAGCTCTACTAATAGAAATATGATGCGTTATGCATAATTACCTTCCAGCCTACGAGTCATGCGGGTACGATGCATCATGCAATGCACGTAGCGACGTAGCCTTGCTTGCCGTTTACATACTGCCTGTTTGGATCGCTTGGATGAAAACAATAGATTTCTGGATTCCGGGTAAACACTTGGCCAACTCGACAATAAATAAGGTGCTTCATTAAACTTCTTGCCTTGTTTAAAAAAAATGACCTCAAGTGAAATCACCTGACTTTCCACCTTTCAAGAAACAGACAATCATCAGCTGCACCCTAAGCTGTTTGAAAGGCATCTCAAATATACAGAATTGTAGAAAGCCATGAGTCCGAGGAAGAAGCTCGTGGTTTAAGCTTGGTTTAAGCACACTTATTCAAAGCAGAGCCAGAAAGCATTTGCACGTTTTAAAATGCTGTATAACGCTAAGGCCACACATCTGACCTCAAATTCACAGGTCACAGAAACAAACTAGGCCGTTTCGGTCCACAATACCACTTTAGCAGCCAGGGACTGTTGTTACAGTGTAGGCATATGCAGAACGATAAGTGACGGGGGCAAGGAGACCACCAGCAAGGCCATATATAGCAGGCGCCAGTTGGTGCGCTTCTGCCGCTGAGGCTGCCGTTGCCACGTGGTGTAACTCACCCAGCCGCGCTAGCGTTTACTCCGACGGGGTTTGCAACTCCATTTGCAGGCTGCAGCTGGTGCTTCCAACCAGTTGGGGTGGGGGTTGCGAGGGTGACCGTCAAACTCAGCTGAGCAGGGGTAAGTGAGCTCATGACCTCGGCACGTCCGGAGGATAAAATAACACGAGTTGTTTTACATAACATGACTAATGACCGAGTTCAATTTCACGATTGCTGTCACCGTATGGCTGAAGCTGAACCCCGATCGGTCCATTCTGCCAATAACTCCGCGAATGGCCAGCGTGACCATTTCCACAATCAGTTTCGTTACAGAATTCGACCGGCCCGGGACGATCTGTGCATGCACAATTGCACAGCCTAGGCTTTACCAATATTTCGAACACATGATACTGGGTAGGGGAGGGGGGGGGGGGGCGGGGGCGGAGGCGGAGGGCTTAGTTTGGCGGAGGGCTATCGGCGTCCATATTCCGAAAACGGTGTCCCCACGCGAGAGAGGAAGCCCAGCAAACATCGGCGTTACCCATGAGGAAGTGTCAGACGTGCGAAGAAGTGGTAGCCGAAGCGGCTACGACGCACATTGTCAGCTCAGCATAAAGTTGACGAGTGTTGAGAAATTGTACCTGGAGCAGTAGCTACCTCGGCTGAAGCGCTACCTGTGGTCCATTTTTTTCAACCTTATTTCTGCTTCATTCTTCCGCTACATACAGCATTTCACTAATCCACATACAGAGAGCATCCAGAGCTAGTCAGCTTATAGTGTCAAGTGGTGTATTGACGGAGGCCAAAATACATCTGCCAACATTTAACGAGCCGCTGAGAGCGGCACATACATCTCATTTCTTCATGATACAAGCTCCTGTCCCGAAAAAGCATTCAGAAATAAAACCTACGAAACATAACAATCTCCGAGCGGGAAATGCAGCGTATCACACGAGGACTAACAGGAATGTTGGGAAGTTTGCGCGTGGAACAAAGCCGTCGGAATGCGAGTCGAGCCGGCGGCCGCCGCCGCAGCAGCGCCGCCTGGCGTGCCGACGCCGAACTACTAATAGACAGGCCTCCACCAGGCGGAGCGGCAGTGTCTCGCCCGTCGAGCACGGGTGGGCTCAGCTTACAGCTTCACTAGGTCCTGTACGCCCTTGACGATGCAGGAGGAGGAGATGCCGAACATGTCCATGAGGGCATCCGGGGGTCCGGAGCGCGGCACCTTCTCCACGTTCAGCTTCTTGACGATGATGTTGCGCTCCTGGGAGAGCGCGGAACAGACTGCCTCGCCCAGACCACCTGGCGAATGGGGACGGAGGTGAGCAACTTGAGGAAGCCACTTATCGCCCGAGGTTACAACGTGTCACACTTATAGGTCACGTGAGTAAAACAATGCTAACATCCTCTATGACTTAAGATATCACGAAACTGGATTGACCCCTGCCATCTACTGCCGACCTCACCGTGCGCTTCACTTTCACAGTGCGCGACAACCTCGAGCATTTACTGCCTTTAGTCACTTGAACTTCCCTATTCTCCATCAGTCTGTACTTCCTTTCATCCCTCCCCCTCCCTCCCTCTCAACTCCCTTCCCCAGCCTTCCATCCTCCCTAGCCCCTCTCTCGTCCCCCTGTCTCCCCCTCCCCCCCCCCCTCTCACCAGCCGGGTAGTGATCCTCCACGGTGAGCACACGTCCGCCGCACTGTTTGGCGTTATCACGGATAGTGGCCACGTCGAGCGGCTTCACAGTGAACGGGTCCAGCACGCGCACGTGCACACCGATACCGGCCAGGTGCTCGGCGGCCGTCAGTGCATTGTGCAGCGTGATGCCGGCACCGATCACCAGCACCTGTGGGGGGGGGGGGGGGGGGAGTCAGCGGGGTGTCACAGGGAGAATGAAACAGGGAAGGTCCGATAACTCTCATATGAAGCTCTGGTTTGAGATGATGAACATTACCCGTGGGCCGTGGGGGAGGGGGTAAGGATTGATACTAGAAATTTTTAGCTTAGGGTAAGAATTTCCGTGATCTAAGTGGTTACATGGGAAGGTTACAATACAATGTGACCTTACAGTACAATGTAAGTATAGTAACAACTACCATCAAGAGCATTGATAAAGTGGTAGCAATAATTTTTAACAGCGCTGCTGTTTTGATGTAGTTTTCAGATTAAAATACTGGATGGGAATTGCATTTTACACATTCACTGCCCTTCCAAGGTTCATTCAAAATCGTGCACAAATGCAGAATAAGACATATCACTGATCAAAATGTCGCATATCAGCATATCATTTGTTAGTATGAGCAGCTTTGGCTCGAAGTCCAGCTCTAGTTTGGTAGTAGGCTAAAAGCCAGACAGGCTGGGTATAAAACTTGCAATAACTTTTCAAGCACAATCTGGGGGAATGAGGATTCCAATTCACATTCACTGAATTCTTCAACGAATATGCATGCGGTAGATCATAGCGTCGAGTTAGTTTGGTTCTAAATCGGCCCTATTCGTGAGCAATGCACTGTCAACCTCATGTCCTCGACAACTATGCTGGCGGTGGTCATTGGGTATGAGTAGTCGTACATACGGGAAACGCTTCACATCACTCGTCAGCCGTCCACGCGTGTTAGGGCAAACCAGTCAGTATCATCAGCTCACAGCAGCTGCACGCCTGTCGTCTAGCTGCCAAACACTAAATCAGAACAAAAGAACACGCACACACACACAGCAGGCACGGCCAGAGCCGGCACCTACTCAGAGTTCGGCCGGACCCCACTAGGCAGGGCCAGCGGTCAGCCATGGCTGTGTGATTGGCGGTCAGATGGACCCCAGACCGGGCCGCGGGGCTGCCTGTTCAGTCAGTAATGTCAGAGACACGTCTGTGAGCGGACTACAGCCGGCCAATGGGGTTACACGCCGCTCAGATATGGCAAGCTGTGATTACATTGCTGAATACAGCTGTGATTGGGCATGTTGGCATGTTGAATACAATTTCCAAGATGTGCATCACATCAAAAGGCACTTTTTTAATTATACGCCCAGAGTTACTACCTCAGTGAATAATTTCGATTGATTTACTAAATCCACATTAACAGCCTATCTTAACTTAACGTATTTCTTTCTTCTTAGCATGTTGAGTAATACCTTCCGATAATTGCCCAGTCCCAGCCTAGACCCCATACAGCCCGCATCCCCCTTCCTTGCCCTCCCCCCCCCCCCCCCCCCCCCACCCGCGATTAGTGTCTCACCTGGTCGTTGCCGGACTGTTTGACCACCTTGGCCTGGCCGATCTGCATGCTCTCGCCGTTTTCGTAGATGACCGGGGTGGCCGGCCGAGAGGTGCGGATGAAACAGATGCCCGGACAAGTGGCGGCCAGCTCGCAGGCGCGCTCACAGCTCACGGCGTCGCTCGGGTAGAATACGGTGGAGCCGGGAATGGCGCGGAACATGGCCAGGTCCTCGAGCGCCATCTGGCTCGGACCGTCCTCGCCTGGAGAGGAGAGAGGGGGGGGTTCAGAGGGATAACAGTGGAACGGGGCAGCTGCTGCGAGTCGTTTCAAGGGAACAAACGGTGACTCGTTTTATCAATAGCGATGGACGATCTGATAACTATGCTTACAGTTCGTTTTACCGTAAGTCTTACATTTACATGATTCAATTTCTAGAAAATCATCAGGTATCACAAAAACAGCCAGGGTACCATTTACATCCCGAACGTCAAAGAAATCATAGTCAAATACGCCGCCAAGCATCCCACCTGAAACCAAACCAGTCAAATATCACACCTGAACTCGAAACCAGCCCCTCGCTCAGAGTTGAGCCCACCACTCCCAGCCACCCCTCCCTTCCTCCCAGCGCTTCCACAGACCGATGCTGACGCCACAGTGACTGCCGGCGCCCCCCCCCCATGACCCTCCCTTCCTCCCTGCGCTTCCACTGACCGATGCTGACGCCACAGTGGCTGCCGGCGCCACCCCAGTCCCAACCATCCCCTCCTTCCTCCCTGAGCTTCCACTGACCGATGCTGACGCCACAGTGACTGCCGGCGCCACCCCACCCCCAGCCACCCCTCCCCTCCTTCCTCCCTGAGCTTCCACTGACCGATGCTGACGCCACAGTGACTGCCGGCGCCACCCCACCCCCAGCCACCCCTCCCCTCCTTCCTCCCTGAGCTTCCACTGACCGATGCTGACGCCACAATGACTGCCGGCGCCACCCCACCCCCAGCCACCCCTCCCCTCCTTCCTCCCTGAGCTTCCACTGACCGATGCTGACGCCACAATGACTGCCGGCGCCACCCCACCCCCAGCCACCCCTCCCCTCCTTCCTCCCTGAGCTTCCACTGACCGATGCTGACGCCACAGTGGCTGCCGGCGCAGGTGATGTTGGTCTGAGAGATGGCACCCATACGCAGCTGGTCGAACGCGCGGGTGAAGAACGCCGCGAACGTCGAGACGAACGGAATGGTGCGGTTACGGCAGCCAGCGCCGATGGCCACGCTCACGAGGTTCTGCTCGGCGATGAAGCACTCAATGTAGTTCTCCGGATGCGCCTATGGATGGTAGAAAGGAGTGTCAGTGCATCTTATGGTAGGAACGGGAAAGTGTTAGCGCGGCCTATGGAAGGGGAAATATGGGTGGAAGTCAGTGTAAATGGGGACTGGGGCAGAGTGAGGATAGTAGTCCGTCCTGATGGGAAATGTCATGCATCATGATATGGCAACCGGAGCCGTTCGTATTACATCAGACACCATCTTACTACTGGAAGGTGTTCATAATCATTTATGAGTGCCACGTCCCAAGCTTAGGTTGAGTTCATGCCGTAACGTCGATAGTGTAAGAACTAAGAACTGTATCCAGTTGACAAACCAGCATTCAGAGCTATCACAAGAACTCGTAACATCCGTAAGGCCAATAACTATAGAAAAGTCCGCACCTTCTTGATTTTCTCCGAGTAGGTGGAGTTCTTGGTGTCGCCGTCGAGGCCGATGACACGAGGGTTGTTCTGGCACAGCTTCATCAGAGCGGTGCCGTACGCAGCGCGAGTCGCCACCTTCTCGCCTGGAAGAGATCCGGTCATAGGTGAGGCCAGCCGTGCCGTCAGCAGACAGGTCAGAAGAGCGGCAGGGATATCCGTAGAAGAGCAGTTGGAAAAAATATGCGAGACAGGCTGAGTGACTCTGTTCCACCTCCCTTCGACTTTCCCAATTCCTTCGACAGTCACGTTCCCCTCCCGTCTTACCGAGTTTGTAGCTGGGCGGCTCGTTCAGCTTCACGTTAACTATGTCGACGTCGGGCGCGTCCTCCTTGAGCGGTTTCTGCGGCACCAGCATCGTCTTGCCCTGGTTGGAGATGAACGCCTTCAGCTGGGCCAGCGTCTTCTCGGCGACGGCGCCCAGCGGCTTGCCGTGCCAGTTCAGGTGGTCCTCCACCTCCGGCACGAAGTGCTTGCCCTTGAACGTCTTGCAGAGCAGAGCCGTCGGCTTGCCAGTGGTGATGGAGGCCTCGTGGAAGGCCTGAGGGAGGGAGGGTGGGAGGGCGTTGGTGTTAGAGCGTGCAGTGCACGGGCGGGCACGGGACGGGCAGGTGGCTGGTTGATTCAATTTGCAGTTAACCCTCGCCGGACCTATTGGTTTTCTACATACGCGCCGGCCGAGGGGGGGGGGGGGGCGGGTACGACCCCCCCCCCCCTCGCCGTTTCGCCCCTGGTGGAGCTAGCGCGTCGCGGAAAAAACGAGCGTGTGCGCCGTTACGAGACGCAGAGATTGGTACCCGATTTTAAGGTCCTAGGTCAACCGGTGACCTCTGAGGTCAGGTCAAGTGCCCCAAGGTACGGTTCAGTTTTTGGTGAATAACTTCGCAAAAAACGGCCGCAGAGCGCCGATTTTGGCAGCATCGTGTTCGTCTTGCTCAGGCGCGTCGAATGATATACTTTTTGTCCGGGTCAGGTCAACTTGGGGTGTTGACCTCAGGTCAAGGTCAGGTCAGCACCCCCAGGTCACGAAGTTGGTCGAAAGAGGTCATGTCGCATATCATTCGATTCGGCAGGTCTTCCTGAGTCCATTGGTGGCTTTCCCGACTCGCTAGCTCAATTTGATCAAGAGTTATTGACGAAAAACTAATATGACCTTGATGACGTCATAAATGACGTCACGCAAGGTCAACATTGCAAAAGTGACGCATCTAACCTTGCAAGGAGTGCATCAAATCACGATTCTGTGTGCTTGAGATAGTTGGAGATCGTTCCCGGCGCCAGAATAGCAGTTTTCATTTTTCCCCATTGACTTATAATGGTGAGGTCACGAAAATGACCTGACCTCATATGACCTTTAGGAAAAATCCGAGATATACAAGTTGTGGGACTCATAATGGATACTAGATCCTGCAAGTTTCATTTCCCTGTGACATCTCCTCTGGCAGTGAGGGCGTTGCGAAGTTGCGACATCTGAAGACCGTGCAGAGGTTCACTTATGACGTCATAGGTCAGTGACCTGACCTGACCCAAAAATGCGGTTGGTGTCAAAAGATCCGGCTTGGATCAAAGGTCAGGTATGCCAAGTTTCAGCTCTCTATCGCCAGCGTGTTTGGAGCTATCGCGAAAAAACCCTATGGGGGGGGCGGCACCCGCCCCCCCCCCTCGGCCGGCGAGGGTTAAACGAGTGTGATTAGCCGCGTGAGCGATTTCACGCATTATCGGCGTGATAAATTGGAACAGCTTGCAGATACTAAATAATTGGTGATGGCCCTCAATAACCAAAACGAAATGCTAGTAAACAGAGATGCTGTAGCAATGAAAAATAACATAGACTTTTGATTTGAAACAAAACAGACAATGATTCAGCACAAGCGGTTAGAACCAAACACAGATATGCATCATTATAGGCTCAGAGATTTTAAATCACCCAGAACGGGCCACTGCGTGCCTGACGCCTGATTTAGGTAGCCGCAGCTGGCCCGTAGTGCACACAGCTGTTCCGACCCGGCAACAGATAGGGCTGCGATACGGGCGGCCGACTGTCGGGCCACCCGGGGTTATTAGTCGCGGTATTATTTATTGTTTTAGGGGCCACTCATCGGCACAGCAACCGACCAGTGATTCCACCGTAACGCTTAGTTCATTATTGCGCGACATATTCTTTTTTTACCATGGCTTTACACGCGTAAAACCATTCTGAATCACCACAGCTATGTAGTCCATATATGATGCAATGCTCCTCAGCCCGTAACAATTGCTAACAGCTCCATCATAATCTGATACTTTCGTTGGACCCTGCCAGTCTGAAACTTCTCTAAATTCTCTCATTGCCAAGCATGATACTGTCCAGCTTCCCCTAGCTTTCACTAACATACAGTCTCTCACTCGTTACATCTCTCTCCCTCCTACTTTACCTTGCACAGCTCCTCGACGTCGTGCCCGTCGACGACGATGGCGTTGAAGCCGAAGGCGGCCGCCCGCTTGCGGTACGTCTCCATATCGTGCTGCAGCGGCGCCTCTTCACTCTGGCCCAGCCGGTTGACGTCAAAGATGGCCACCAGGTTGTCCAGCTTGTAGTGGCCGGCGAAGTTCATGGCCTCCCAGATGGAGCCCTCGGCGCTCTCGCCATCACCGATCAAGCAGTAGGTGCGGTAGGAGGCCTTGTCGAAGTGTTTGCCGACGTAGGCCATGCCGCAGGCCACGCCCAGACCCTGGCCCAGGCTGCCGGTGGCCACGTCGACAAAGTTGAGACGCGGCGTCGGGTGGCCCTCCAGGTCGTTGTCGATCTTCCGCAGCTTGAGCAGCTCCTCAGCCGGGATCAGGCCCGCCTCCGACCACGCTGGGGGCAGACAGGTCGCCAAAGGTCACACGTCGGAGTCAGGCAAACTTTCACCGCCACTTGATAGCGAAGCATCCAGGATAAACAAACGAAACGTAGGAGACGTGGTACCTTAGGAGACGCGGACCTAGCTCTTTCCCTGTAGAAAGAGCTGGGTCATTCAAGATTGAGGTTTTCAAAAATAATAATTAATAAATAAAGCGACAAAGTTCCGAAAAACGGCCTTAGATACGATATGACGAAATCCAGCGTCAGCCCAGTCAGTACGCTGCAGACTCGGCGTAGCCCCCACCCAGTTCAAGTGGATAAGGGGGACGGGGGAGAGGCAGGGCGCGGCGGGACGTGACGCAACCACGGCCACACTGGCTATCGGGCGACCAATCGAACCTCATAGACCTCAGTGAGGAACTGGCCAATTTAGCGCCGGGGTCACCCTGACCATGATCGGGGCAGTTGTGCAGCTACGGTTAGGCGTAGCCACAGAAAGATATATGGCCTTGGGAGCAACATTCTACGAGACAGACACCATTGGAAACAATAATTGATCATCTACGAGCACGTGGTAGCTTGTGTTACGCGAGGCGATATGGTTCAAAGGCTCCGCATTGACAGCATATGATCTTAATTAATTTGGCGAAGACAGACTTTTGTAAAAGAAGAATAAATAAGATGAATTTGCAATTCATGAGCTGATTTCCCAGTTCATCTCACACTCTCAAAATGCATCCAGACTAGAACCCCGGACCTTTCCACAACCCGCTCATCTGACGGCACCACCCACTCACCGGCGTAGAGGATGGGCGCTGCGTGCCCCTTGGAGAGGATGAACCGGTCCGAGTGGGGACTGCGCGGCTCCGACACCTTGTAGCGCATCGTGTGGAAGAACAGCACCGACATGATCTCCGCCATGGACGCGCATGACGTCGGGTGGCTGCAGAACGAGGTCAGGTGGAGGTCAGAGGGGTCAGCGGCGCAGGTCAGGTGAACGTCAAGTTAAATCAACGAACGGCAGAGATGTCAACTGTGGATCACAGCAAGAATTGTCGGTAGAAGTTTCATTTTTGGCTAGTTGAAATGAAGTCGAAAGAATAGGGCTTGGAAGGTCTTCAGCGAATCCAAATGGAAGTCGCAAGGGTATGTAGTGCTTGAATAAAGGTCAAGGGCAAGATAAAGAGGACATATGCGGGTTAGAGAAGGAACAGATGTCAAATAATTCCGTATTCAAAAAAAGAAAAAAACAACAACAGCTGACTCTACCAATAACAATGTCACACACTGGTATGCTCGTGTCACGCAGCAGTGGGCGGGATTGTTCAACAGGAGCCATGGTATTGCCACTCTGATAACAATCAATGAACAGAACAAACAGAGCAAAACAAACACCCCTCACCACAGTACGGAGTCATTGCACCATGGCTTTCACAAATGTTACAATGGCTCGCATCTGACGAAAACATCCTTGGACTGTGGCAAACCAGCCAATTAGACACGTTCTAACGGCGCACCATGACATACCGTGATCACCGGCCAGGCGCGAGCCCGCACCGCAACAGGCCGGTAACAGCTCAGCTGACTGGCCGGGCCCGGCGACCGGATCCCGCACCGCGGCCACATCGTTTGGAAACCGGGCGCACGCCCCCGCCGCCCGCCGACCACGTGGGCCGACCGCAGGAGCACTGCTCCGTCACGGTAGGTAGTGACCGACCCTATCACGGCGATCATGAGTGGAACGCGCCGAGCAGGGGCGTCACAAATAGTGTCGGTGAGGCAACCACGTCACAGCGTCACGGCATCGTCACACGGCGTCACGGACCACCGCAGACCGTCACGAAATAGAACTCACGGCGTTACGCACCACCACAGGCCACCAGTCACGGACAGTCACGTCACAACAAACACATCAACTATCGACTAACCACAGCCACCACCGCAACAGCTGAGCATTTCCACGCACAGCCTGTCCCAGTCTCAGCACAGCGTGAACGGTGTTTTACGATTTACTGGCTTTACTATTTACTATTCGACCCACAGGAGACGATAATTCCATTTTGTGCAATGTGTATGCAGCAAATAGCCAGCTGCTCTACCAGGACATTCCTTCGGATCATGGCTCCGGATTCCAATCTCTATCACTAAGGTAGATTGTCTAGATTTGACGCAAGGATTTACTGTTTACTGACTTCGACAAGTTTCGTTTCCAGGACGGGGACGCTCATAGTCTGGTTCGACCGGAGCAGTACGGAAGGAGGGGAGGAGAGGGCAGGGGAGGGGAGAGAGCGTCACAAAAACGGGACCGGTCGCTGTCGTCAAGGCAACAGACCATGAGACAGCGGGCGGCGGCGGACGGCGGGCCGCGTGGAATGGGTTCATACTCAGCGTGTCCGTCTGGTGGCAGGGGCGAGACGGTGTAAAGGCAGACGAGAGAGGCGGGTCTCGTTCGATCGGAGTACACGGTACGGTAGAGGCCAGCATTCAGCAGTCAGGTCAAGCCACAAAGACTGCAAGCTGAGTCAGTCTCAGCTGGCATGATGGCTCGGAAAGGCGGGTAGGAGAGGGAAAGGTAAACCAGCAATGGCACAGTCAGCGCATGACGCCTCTCTAAATGACAAGTCAGCGTGACACCACCACCAGTCTCTCTGCCCAGAGTGTCGTCACCGCCACCGCCGACGGCAGCGCGGCTGACGTCTCCATCGGTCCAGAACAGGGCTACCTGGCGTGTCACCGCCGCGGTTACCAGACCAGCACGCATGCCAGACAGACTTTCCAGAGCCCCTGGCTGTCTAAAGGTATTAGCTAGTGCAGGGAGGCGGGCGGACATAGACGACAGTGCGGATAAATCAGATCGAGGTAGAGTTCAACGCTCCCCCGCCAACAAGTATGACTGGGAGGAGGGCTCCAGCAAAAAAAGGGTGAAGTAGTGTGACAGGTGCTGGTCCCCAAGGCAGTGTAGGGAGCGGGGCGGGCTGAGAATGTCGTCCCAAACCCCAGGCGTGAATAGAGCGAGCCCGGACAGGCACTGCAGCAGGACAGAGTTCACGGAGAAGGTCAACAAATAATAGGTCTGGTGGTGCTAAACGGGAGGAGCCAGTTACCACTCGAGCCAGTCAGAGTCCAATCGTTACTCAGAAAGGGCATAGCAACAGCCTAGAATGGTAATGGAGAACGAGAAAACTGTATGTTATTCACACCATTACAAGACAACTTGTATTACCAATTGAAGGCAAGGGTGAGCACTAAGCAAAGTGAACCAGAGCAGATGACGGTAAAATCTATCAAACAATACAAACGAACTCAGCGTGGGATAACCGTGGAACAAAAGTTATAACTGGAAGGAAGAGGACACCTGCCAGCAGGACGGAGTTCGGCAAGGCCTCGTCTAACATGTTAACTGGGGGGGCCAAACCCCCGCAGTTACCAACCTGGCCCCCCCCCCCCAGTCAGGGTAAAAAGTCACTACTGGGGGGGCCGGCAATAGCGAAAGAGCAAACGAACTTTTATTGCGAGTCGTCAGTCCACATGAAAACAAACGCGTAAACGACACATGGATGCAATGTGAGCACATTGATATACCCGATTACCTAGGGTTGTTATCAAGTGTTTATTTTGTTTACCTGAACCATTTTTTTTTTCGCTCAGCACAATACGTTACATTTCGTCTTTCAGGCGGCCCAACTCCGTGTCCCGGGTATTCTTTTTTTTATAAATTTAGTCCGAACCTTTTGAATGGAAGGATTCACAAGGACAGAGCCCCCGCTAAGCAGAGCTTGTTGCGTTGGCCCTGCCCTGCCCTCTACCCTCCGATCGCGCAATTCCTGATCTATGGCAGAATTTAGAGCCCAAAGTTTAACGTATGCACAAAGCCGCGCACGGCCGGTCCCCTCACTGACTTCGACTGCAGCTACGGCCTGCTACCAACCGCAACTATACTCGCCAGGAGGCTCATAAACATCGAGCGACTCCGTCGCGTTTCGAACCCGGACTGTTATAACCGGGACGCGTGCCCTCACCACGAGCCACGAGGAGTCCAACGTTCTACCGGCAAAAAATTCTCCTTTTTTGCCTAGTCTCTCCTATCAATCACGTATCAAATAACGTATCAAATAACGTATCAAATTCTCCTATTAATCTGTTGTTTCTGTCCTCGGGGCGTCAATCTGTTGTTTTTGCCTATCGTCGTCCTCACTATGCGGCGTCCAACTTCTGGCTGGACGGTCACCGGTGTGCGGCTAGAGTATAGCTCCTAATCGTAATGAAGCAGGTTCCCGTTCCGGGTGGGTCGTACATAGGCGCAGATTGGTGGTCTGCCTGTGGCGACGGGAACTGACAGCTCTGGGTTATCTAAAGAAGTCGGCATGGAGTCCCGGCACCGAGCCGTGCTTTCCATCCTCAGGACAGTCAAATCCTTCTCCTCCATGCCGCAACCCCCTGCTCCGGGCTGGACAGGCCATTCTAACCCACACGGGAACAGCTCCACTGGAGCTAGCCCGCAGCCGGGTGCAGTGAGTGCCATCGGGCTGGGCGGCATGTCCGACTGGACAGGTTCAGCCCAGGTGACTCACTGGGGTGCCTGCCCAGACCAATGTCTGCCCCTAATTCCTATCATCCTTCCGGCTCTGAAATGGTCTCGTCAGACCGAAAGGGCCTAACCCAACAAAAGAAAAACAAAAATCGAGTCCCGGAGGGCAAATCCCAGTCACTTAGGGTCCCAACGGGCCTCAAATTGCACTACTACACGGGGCCCCGATTGTCTCACACTATAGCCTCTGACGACCTTAAGGTTGTGTCGGAGATCCACGGCGATTATGGAGAATCCACCTGAGAAGCCCTCAGTAGTCAGTCTCCAAGTAGATACACATTACACAGGCTCTACGTGGGAAAATACGGCCTCTACTCAGATTGATCTTTAAAGCCTGGTATGGATCATATAAAACCAGTGTGGGCTATCATAGAGGCCGACGTGGGTCCAGAAGCTGGAATTAGCCCTCAGAGTTCGGTACCGAGCGCTCAGAAGTCGGCGGGGCCCATCAGAAACCGATGTGGTTCGCAAAAAAAATCTATGCGTGCGGGCCATCGACATGAGGCTCGTCATGAAAATTCCTTAGACGAGGCACTGCCACTCGAACAAACGCTCAACACCGAGAAGTGTGATTATTACTGTCTCATGGGGCAATATGAGGAGGCTACAAACTAATATAAAACCATGGGTCGGATCGTCCACTATTTTCTTTTTAGTTAAAAAAAAAAAATCATGGTGTCAGGGCTGTGATGAAAAATAAGTGGTCTAAATCCGGTGAGAAAACAGGATTTGGGGGTACCCTAGGTTTGGCTAGGTTGTCTCTGGCCCCCCCCCCCCCCCCAGTGAAAATTCCTTAGACGAGGCCCTGGAGTTCGGCCTTGGAACGGAAATAGGAAACTGCATGTTTTCCTCCGCATCGGGCGAATAATTGCCAAAACAGCACGGATTCAGATAATTGTCGGGCATACACGATGTTATGCGGCCGATCCAACACGTAACGCGAATGGCATTACATCACCGTGCTCGAGTAGTCATACTCGACAGTCGACAGTACTGTGGAAAGAAGTCTCGCTGAACACAGCTGGTCAGCACTAAAAACCGTCACAAAAACATGTCTGGGAAGCGAGACGTCTCGAGTCTCAGCGCCACGTCAACATCAGGCGATCCAGTGTCTATTTAATTATCCTAATGTTAGTATAGGGTGTGATGTTCACGACGGTCAATTTAATCACTCTAGCTTTTTTCCTCTTGCCTCGCAAGCAAGTCTGTCAATCGCTTCAGTTCTTTCCTACACATGTTCTTACCATACTGCTTACTTACTTTAAAAATGCTGTGACTGCCAACAGCTAAGACGGGCCTAAGCATCGCTCTCTTTTTTCATCGTTCATGGGGATATCACCGATCACGGCCAAATA